CGAAAGTTTTAAATACTACGCTTGTTTTCAGCCCATTTAAATGTGTGGCCATTTTCTAATTAAGAGGGTCCATCTGTTCTACTTTGAAGCTAAGAGTTCTTACACGCTCAATTATGTGTGATTTAGTATAGTTCACAAATAACTTGCTATATTTATTCTCAACGTACTAGATTTACATTCTCTTTTTAGTGTGTTAAAGTTATAAGAAGGTACACTACCAGCGCACATGAAGTGTCAGCAGAAATTGATCGTGCGTTACTTCTTAAAATTGAGTAATTATTTAGAACGCTGCTAACGATGGAATAAAGCTGCATATGGGTGGTATTCATAAATTAAATAATTAAAATTAAAAATTAAAAATATGTGACTACAACAACCATATATTCATGGTGAATGGCATGAATTAGTTGAAAAAAATAGGTAACCATAATAATATGCAAATGCCACTTCTAAATTGTATACAATGTTTCGTTCGTTTGCTGAGATGGAGTTAGAAAGTATACTATTACATACCTATACTCAAAAATCAAACAAAATTTTCGTTCGAAAAGAACCGTGTCAGTTTTTTCCTATACAAATGTTGTAAATACGATAGACAAAGATGGAATTTTCTCAAGGTTTCACAATAACACTAATATTTTAGGATTTTTAGTTACTTGTTACTATACTAATTGTTTATTTTATTAAACAATCATATGTATGTAAAGCTTAAAGGTGCCATCTTCCAAAAGCTAATTTTTTTGAGAATTCAGTTCGTATGCCTTCGTTGCTCATGTTTTGCATAATTTACACGGTATGCAAATGAGAATTTTATTTATGCTTTTTATTCTGACTTTAAAATATTCATTAAATTATCTGTTATTTCGATAATGATGTCACTACATCAACTACACCGGAAATTGTCTTCATCTTATACATGGCTTTGTCTACAAGTGCAGCTAGGCATAATAATACATTAAGCTTTGTCTAATTCATTGCGAAATTTTATCACTGAAGTGACTTATACGCAAACAACGTTGACCAGCTTTTTCATAAGAAAAAATAACTTAATTTTCAAACAAAAATTGTTAGTTTAAAAACAGTTGTTCAGTCGAAAGCTGTAGATTTGAAATACAGTTCATTTTAAGTTGATTTTTCAATGTTGATGTAACAGTATGTAATAATTAGTTAAACTTGGAGTGGGTGCCATGTAAAAAAGAGCAGAACAGAAATTTTCAGGTGGATACATGTAAAGAACATGTTAAAACGTAAGATTAAAATAAAAACATTTTACACATCTGAAATAATAATAAACCTTACCTAGATGCTAGAACTGTGCAGAAAACCAAGACGAGACGTTTCCCGAGGTTCAAATTTTGTGTTCACGTCTACTTCTTGTCAGGTATGTATGTACATATCATGGAACTAAGTATGTAATACATAAAGCTAGAGGTGCTTAAAAACATCTTCAGAGACTGTTCAAAAGTACATACTTGTTTTTGAATAAACTCTCACATTCTGGTTTATCCTGCTTTATACAGTAAGTATGGGGGTAGAACAGAATGGCAGATTTTTTTGACAACTTCGTAAAATATGAAATTGTGTTAGAGAATTTCATTAGGATACGGTTAGTTACTGCAAGCATTCATAAATTGTCTCATTTGTCTGCGCCTGTATAGAATGTAGACTTATAAATCAGAGTAGTTAGTAGAATATCCCAGCACACATGTGACGAAACGGCGGCTCCGGGAGTCACGGCTGAGAAGACATCACTTTGAGTCGCCGCTTGTGGTAACTCACGCGAAAAACTGTCAGACTTAATGTGGCAACGTTAAAAATAAGAATAAATATATTTAAATAGTTTCGTTAATTAATATACCTACCCAGGAAATTGAAATTACTTGAACGTTCAATATAAGGCATTTTTACCAAAGGTTTTTCACCTTCATTGTTCATTTTTAAAATTGTATTCCCACGAAAAACGGTTAATCTTATTTATTGTCAGTGAACCACAGAATAAATAAACTATTGACACCCAGTTCATGACAACATTCGGTATTTCGATACTTGATTAACGATGAGCACATCACGAATTTTAATTTATTGCAATATACCAGACTATACCCGAACGAGGAGATTCAGACATTGACGATTTTAAAAATAAATATGTACATGCACGACGGTACTTATTATGTTGGGTATCAACTGCAATATGTCGACTCCACAGTTTATTGCAATCACAAGCCGAAATTTGATGAGGCACCGGAGGTAGATGTCTTAACTTACCAAACATTCAGAATTTATGTTTACAAAAAATAGACTTTGGTTTAGTTTGATACGTAACTTTAATATAATAATCCTTTCACACAAATTTTCTGCTACGCAATCAATCAATAAAGAGTATTAAAATCAGGTAACTTTCGTTTGAACTGGAGAATTAAAACTGTTTTTCTCTTATATACTTATGTTTTAAATCACTTGAAATTTTGTTTCTAAGGGAATGAAGGCAACTTAACAAAAATTATATTGTATATTTATTTCATAATAATGGAGCTATTTTCATAAATGTTTAATTTCATGTTTCCTTAACATTTGATGGTTCCCTAGCATACACATAAATTATTTTTAAGTTCCCGTTGTCGGAAATGTAGCCTCCAAAATTCTGAAATTTTAAGTTTACCTTAAGAGTTATAAAACGGTTAGCTAGTCTTCAGATAGAACCTATTACAATAAAAAAGTGACTTAGAACTTGTTGACAATTACAGACCGATTAGCTTGTTGTCTAGTCATAGACAAAGTAATTGAGATTATTATTATCAATCAAGAACGATATTCAGAAATTATTTAAACAGATTAACAAGTAAGTTAAAGTAAGCCTTTTATTTAATACCTGAGGTTTTATCCGGATCATTATATCAATCACAATTCGCCATGTAAATATGTATTTTTGCAGTCAAATTTTATAATGAACATCCAAAAGTAGCCATCAGTGTAAACACCGGTCTCAATATTTAATTATCAACTGAAGAAAATCAACACGTTTCATTTCTTCAACAGTTATGGGAACGTTCCACGATAAGAATTTTAGTCTGAAAAAGTAAAAATTATTCAAAATACAATGGTTAATTAGATGACCCTTTTGCAGATCTTTAACGGAACTGATCATACCTATCCTTATTTGTTGAATCAAATATTATTTTCGTGCCTTCTGTCTTATTGGGTACTGTTTAGGCATAGTTGTCGTCAATGGCCACCCTCAAAAATTGAATAGAATGTTAGTTCAAGTTTCATGTTTATCGCTTTTGAAAGTAAGGTTGGAACTAGAGAGGGCAGATATGAAAGAACGGAGAGAATCGAAAGTACAAGAAAATAAATAAAGCCTAATTCATAGGTATTGGCTTTTACCATGTTCAAATAAAAACCAATATTATGGTCTGATAATGTTGGAAATAACATATAATCGGACTATTTTTCGTAAGATCAAATTTAAAAGACAAAACTTATTTTAAATTTATTGAATGATGAAATTAGTAGATACCGGATCATCCCATACGAACGAAAACATTTTCATATAGTTTCGCCATAACAAATTGTTCTGTATTTTGTACTTTAAGTGCGTCATCACTTCAACAAAGTATTGGGTTAACCGGAAAATTCGTACCGATTTTAAGACGAATTCACCGTTTGTTATTTAGTTGAAAATCATTTTTGATATGTATATGATATACGTACCACTCTGCTGCATGACAGTTTTCCATCATTGAGATTTGAGATAATTCCATGATGCTTCTTGTGTAATGGAACTCTTGGAATTTTTAAACAAGTTGTCCAAATGATTTTTGACTAAGCCAAAAAAACGAAGCTATAGTTTTAAGAAAATTCTGTAAGGACGGTAATTCGAAAGTTGAAGGTCCGAAGAATAGAGTAGATTGGGTTAAAACATCTAAACAACACTCAAGTAGGTAGTTTTCGCTAGAGACGTCCACCTAATTTAACAGTTTTTGTTCCGTTGACTTTATGAGACATAAATAAACATTGTGCGTTTTTGTCATTCCAAGTTTGCGTAAATGGTCAGAAACAGTTGATGCCTAGCCAGTGTTAGGTTTTTCTGCAATCTTATGTCGTGATGTGTCGGTCGCCATTGATTACCTACTAATGTAATTTATTTCATCGATATATTGGTACTAACTGATCGTACTGAGAGTGGAACGACTTGATATCCATCTCCCCAACACGAAATTGTATTCGCTCACAACACCCGAGATATGTTTCTATAGCACTTTTACCTTTTTGGAAAAACAAAGGATAGGCCACCAGTAAAACTTTCTTCTGATATATCACTGTTATCGATATATTTTTTCAATTATTTAAGAACAGACCAAAGAGTTTACAAGGATAATTACAAGTTCGAATACGCTATAAGTCCATAAATGATCAAAAATTCATTAAGAGGATTTAGTGATCGAGTATTGTTCAAATGTGGAGTGCAGAATATTTTGAAGATTTGTTATATTGCCACTGCGTTCCATCATATTTTGATTTTGTATTAATGTTTATTACGTTATTACTATTAGTATTACTTTAATTTACTAAATTATTACGGAAAAAACCCTTGCTATTGTCTTTGCCATTTCTATTGAAACACTACCTGTTGATTTTGCCTAAAATTTAGCAATTGGTAACAGCTTTCGGTTGATTGACAACGGCTTTTAATTAGAAAATTGTCTGAATATGAACGTTGCCAAATTTACGATTAACAAGTGGTGTTTCAATAGAAATGGCAGACTATACTGCTATTTCTAAATGTGATCAAAAAGTTTTTATATCAGAGTTGGCCATCGAAATATTTGTCATATCTTTCATTAAACTGTAAATGTCATGCATAACCTCATTTGTATTTCAATAATTTGGATTTTTGATATTTGCATTTTAATCAAAGACATGGCCAACTCTAATCTAAAAACTTTTTGATCACTCGTTAGTTTTTTATTCTGCATCCAAAAATAAAAAAAACACAATAATTATAAAATAGGTGTTTATAATATTTAAAAATTTATATAAAATATTAGATCAATTTAACGAAATAGCTTGAGCGACATTGTCGATTAATCCCGCTTGTAAGGCCTTGACTATATTTAAACTGTAAATTGTAACTTAATAATCACTTCTTATTTATTATTTCTTAGAACAAGAGATCAAACATTTTTTATACAACAGCATTTTATGCAAAATATACTGAGGTACAATAGATATTGCTACCCACTAAAGTAGTTTTTTTTAACTTATGATTAGTGATTAGGTGATTACGTTGAAATATGAGCAACCATAAAAAAAATTGTATTGAAAGGATACACAATAGTCAAAGTCATTTTTAACAGTTGTACAAAAATAGCACAATTCTTTTTGACCTAAATGATTTTTGACAGTACTTAGTAAATTTAGGAAAACAAGTCTTTTATAAATTTTTGTGGCCAATTTGTTATGAAATTTTGGCAATAGGTTTTTTACGGGTAGTACAAATTCGAACATTAACAAAAACGAACTTGAACTGGGAAGTTAATATCTGTCGTTAGATTGTCTCCTTAGTTTTCTAGTTAGGTGACCTAACATACCATGCATTAACATTACTGCCTTAAAACCACGAATTTCACACGTTTTCTTTACCAGATTTTTTTCGTTTATCTATCTCACTATCTCACAACTAACAAACTAAATTGTTAGTAGGTAAGCATTATTAAAGACAAAAGTACAATAACAAAAATAAAGAAGTAATAATAATATTTGTATAAAAAGTCAGTACCAGAAAGTTAAATACATATTCCATACTCATACATTAAATGTAATTTTCGTATTTTTCTGTAAAGCAACAATACAGTTAAAGTATAAAATATTATTTTCTATAACTTTTTTACTTATTTTTGAAAGTATTTGTATACATAATAAATATATAGAGACAAAAATAAATAATAATTAATTACTATACAATATGATGAAACATTTGAAAAATTAATAACTCAATTAAATTTTTGCGAGTGTAATATTATCCTTAAAATGCAAAAGAGCAATTCACAAGTCTCTCATGGGGTTCCCTAATTTTTTTACAATTAGTTCTTTTTATTTGGCTTTCTAATGTGATGATAATTTGGTAACATTTTTGAAAGTGTTTCCATCTGAAGTGTTTGGAGCTGAAAAAAAAACATAAATACATCAAATGTCCAAATTAATAAAAAAAAAAATTACTCACTCCAGGTCGATCTAAACCTTCTCTCATGTGACAATCATGTCCATAAATAATAACATTTTCTTTCAAAATTTGTTCCTGTGTGACTTTGCAACCAGCACCAATTATACACCCATTTGTAACAGTAACTTTATTCCCAACAAAACTTTTGGACTCGAAGACATTATAGTTTCCAATCTTGGGTGCCTCAACATGACAATCTACTTCAAAAACATTATGTGAACCTATTATTAATACTGGTGTATTCTCTTTATCCTGCTGATCAAAAGGAAGTCTGCAAAATTAGATACTTATTATTTTGATTATCAAAATAAGTTTCGTTACCGATGGATAATTTTTACTTGTTCCTCAATTAGGCAACAGTCACCGATGATAATAGGTCCTGCTTCAGCCAAAATTGTTGCACTAGGGTGGATGATAGTTCCTGTACCGATAGTTATGTCGCCACGAAGTTTCGATTCTTCACAGACCAGTGCTCCTTGTAAAATTTTAATGCTGAAAAGCTACCATGAAAAAGACCAGTTTACAGAGAGGACGTTGAATTACCTGTTTCGTGACATTTTTATAAACGGATTCAATAATGCAAAATCAAAACCATTTAGCACGAACAAGGCTGTCACTTTTGTGACTTTGTGAGGTTAGGGCAGCAGTAGAATAATTCGCGTGGAGGGGAGAGTTTTATTCTATAATTATTCTTCTCCACCCATACAGAGAACTTTACATTTTTATGATTCTTGGTCTTGATTTTAAAAATACATATAAACTGGGGAAGGACATGCATATTTTTTCTTCTTTTGATTTAGTATCAGTGGCGTATCCAGTGGGTGTTTCGCGGGTTCCATGGGATCCTAACATTAGGGCCCGTAGGACCCGATTAGCATCGCTGTGTTATTTTCTTCCAAAAATAGACAATTTTCTTTAAAAACAGAATAATGAAAGGGTTCCGAATCTTTAAAGTACAAAACTTGTTCATATTCAGACAATTTTCTAACTAAAATAGTCTCACTAAATATTCTACAGTGTCGATTTGTTTAAAGTCATGAACATCTCAATGATTTAATCGACAGTAATATTTATTTACTTGTGTACCTACATATTATTTAGAAACAATAAATCATTCGTTTTAAGATAAAGGATTAAATGTGTACCTACTGCTTTCCAGAATGATATAATTTTTACGTTTCAAAGCTTTCAGACTTCAGGTTTACCTGAATAGTGAGTATTATGCACAAATAATTATATAACAATTGTGACGCCAACAGATAAAGAACAGCATGACAATAGAACTCAAGTTATTCATTTCCATGTGTCTCATCTTAAAAACAAATACGTTGACAAGCACGAAAATCTATTTTAGTTATTATACATAAAGTTCTAATATGTAACTGATTCATTAACTACTTGTATCTGAATGTCATTCAAATTAAATTCGAAAAATCTCTTTTTACTTTCCGAACTTAAGCCAGAGAACTATTGAATGGGGTTCATCCGCCGAACGACCAGTTTCGTGTTTTTTCCACGTTTCGTAACTTGTAGAGTATGAAAAGTAGGTCGCCCGTTTTGTTTGCCTATTGCTATCGTCTAAATTACTGGGCTGATGACTGTGAATTCGAAATTTCATCGTATTTATACGTATTTAGAAATAAAACAGGGTGGACTTAATCTACTAAAATTATTTCTATGACTGAAATCCATTGCAACATCACGCCTAAAACATTAATTAACTGTTAATTTACGACAGTGGTTTATTTACGGAGACATCGAAAATATTTGAACTACATGTATACCTGGAGCATTTGATAATTCTTGCTCAAAGATGTAGCAGATCAGGTAACTAAAAAAAAAAATTACCTGTCATATGTAATTACAAAACGACAAGAGATTTCTATTCCTTTAAAAGAAAATGTATATGTCAACATCTAAAATAAGATATCCTAACAATGTATCACATGTTTAGCACTTTTCTATCACCACATATCATGTTGTATAAATATAATAAATATCACCATTTGCAATGTGATTATTTAGAAGCACCGATTAATTTGTCGGTGTTATTAAAAGTCATCGCGAAATTTCTTTTGATCAATATTAACAGAATGTATTATCTACATTAAAACAGATTTATTTGAACTTGTTACGTAATTATCAGTATCAATAAATAACGGCATTGATTGTAAGTTAAATTCGAAATTATGTTATCACAGTTTTGAAAATACATTACCTGTCAGGTATGGTATTTGCAGAAATTTGCTTAAAAAAGTTGTGATAAAATTGTAAGAAATAACAAAGTATTATTCGTGCAGATGGTTTTTATGAATTTTCCAAAAAAATGGCTCTTTTTTCAAAAAACTGTAACTTTTTCAAAAATTGAGTTATCGGGACGTTTTTTTTCCAAAAATTGTAAAAGTACTTTTCCGAAAAAAAATGAAAAAAAATTGGAGGTGAGGTTCTATGAGATTTTTAAATTTTTTCTCGAAGTGTGACTTTTTTTGTTTTTTTTTCTAAAAAAACTTTGATTTTTTCTGGACATAACCCCGTGAAAATGGGAGTGGCCCGAATTTGCGTCCTTTTTTTTCCAATTAAAAAAAAATAACTATTTGTACCTTTTTGTATTTTAAAAACTCTGTTTATACACTAAGATTATTTTAAATCTATAATTTTACAATATTTCATACTTAATTTATAACCTTACCTTATGATTTGTCATCAAAATTTCACGATTAAACGATTAAAAATCGTTTTTTTAAAGGCCTATTGGACAAACTATTTATTTCGCTTTTCGTTGGCGCTTAAATAATTTACATATTTAATATTGATCTCAAGACAACCATTTCTGTCTGGTTATTATAAATTATTAAATAGAACGCAAATTGGCCCACTCCCGTTTTCACAGGGTTATATCCGGAAAAAATCAAAGTTTTTTTTATAAAAAAAAAAATCAAAAATATCGGACGAGAAATTGACGGTTTTTCTAAAAAAATTGAAAAATATCACAGAACCTTACCTATAATTTTTTTTCAATTTTTTTTTTCTGAAAAGTACATTTAAAGACAAAAATTTTGAGGAAAAAAAACATCCCGAAAACTCAATTTTTGAAAAATTAATAATTTTTTTTGGTTGAAAAAATTCTCAGAAACGCCTTTAGTGGGGTAGAAAAAAATATAAAAATTTCAGCAAAATGGAAAGGGGTGGGTTTTAAAAGTGGTCGATTTGACATGGAATTACCTAATAGTAGTGTATTGTCTTCCCAGTTTAAAGTGGTTTTTATGATAGGCCCATTGTGTCGAAGGTGGTGACGGGGACAATAGAGTAAATCCCTAGCCATAAATAAGAAAGTGGTCAGTTTCTTGCAGGGCCGTACTTTGTTATTCAACTCATGTTGTCCGTCGTGTGGTAATAATGAGGTGATAATGTTTATATTGTCATAAAAACCACTTTAAACTGGGAAGACAATAGTATAGTATTATACTGCAATATATTTTTCCACGTGTCCACTGCCACCGCCTAATCTATACCAGTTTTTTTATTCTGCAGTTGCCACAATGCGGTAAAGTGCTATATTTTGTTATATCACTGTTACTTCCCAACTGTTTACTTCTGTCTGGCGATTTTATTAGATACATGATCTCCAAAATTTATTTATTCATTCCTATCAAAAATTGTGTGGCGTTACTCCAAAATTTTGTTAAATAAATCCTAAAAGGGCCAAATATGCTACTATACCTGCGATTTACATATCCAGTTTTATAATCACATAACACTGCGCTTGTTGATGTTTGGAGAAACATTTAGAACTGGATAATAAAATTTGAAAATTTGATTATTTATCCTGGAAACCCCAAAATCGCTCGCTCTATAATTTTGTACACGATTTAAGGTTATCATGAATTCGGTAAATTGCGAATCTTTATGACGTCAAGTCAAAAAAATTAAACTGGAACAACCAAATGTTATAATTTGGCTAAAGAATTGGACTTGTTTAATTGAGACGCAAGTTTAGTTTAAATAACTTTACACTATTTTTTTAACTCAAGAATTGAAACCTTACACTCATTAATTCTTATGACAAAAAATCTGTCGTTGAAATTATTTGGAGTATACGTACAGGACACGTCTGTACCATTTTTCCTTTTTTTTACAAAACTGCACAAGGTGGACAAAATTTTTTTACCTAAAATTACTAAACAAGCAGAAAAAGATCACAACAAATCTATTATTTCTGATCTACATCTCCTACAATGCTTCGCTAGTTAAGAAGAAAATTTCTTCTTTGAGACAAATAAAATAAATAGAGGTATAAAATTTTTAACGAGTTATATTTATTTATTATTTTTATTTCATTTGTGGTTACAAACTATCAACCCGATCTATGAAGTAATTTGTTCTAACTACTAATTAAAAAAGCGTCACGTATTCTCGGACACGTATAAAACTGCACCGAGTGTTAGAATACATTGGTGGTTAAAAAAATATGTTAACGTTAATGAACAAAATTTTTATTAGTCAATTTTCATACAAATTTGTAAGTCACGACTGCAACATTTCAACACAGTTGGAGATGTTTAAGGTCGTCTATAAATTAACCCAAGTTATTAAAGTGTGAATATTTCATATAAAAATATATTCCACACTACATGTAGGGTTAGGTACGACGAATTTGCCTGAAATACAAGAGTCGCATTTGCTAATAACTGACAAAAAATACATGCTAATCAAATTTCTCCGAGCTGTAGTATCGTTCTATAGAGAATGCAATTGTATTTCTATTTATTTATTGACAAAGTTCAGACCAAAAATCAAATAACTTCTAAAACAAATGTAATACAATGATTCATTGTTCCTAAAAACGTGCTTTGTTAGATTTTCAGTTTCTCGTACTTTAAGAGGAAATGTATTCGTATTCAGAGCTCAGTCACAAGCAGTAATTAAAAAAATTTCAATGTTCGTGAAAAAAATCACGTGAATCAAAAAGAAAAAATGTTTTCTGTAGGATAATACAAATGTGTCAAATGAAAATCGTTCGCACGAGTTGTTCTTACATTACCGTATGAAATGACTGATTCCCTTTGACTTTTATTATCTATTCGGAAATATTTAAAAAAATCTTTGTAGCTATGCAGCAGTTACCATGAATTTGAACTGAACTCTCTAGAAGATCTTCAAGAATCGGACCTGATGAAACAAAAAATACGGACACAGTGTATTAAAATTCGATAAGAACGTAACGAACTCCAAACTGAAAACAAACTTAATGTATAACAAGCTTTTATTACAGGTAGATGCTTAAAAATTAATGAGAAATAATGAAGATTATGAATTTTATGAACATAAAAAGCAAAGAATAGTTGTGTTGAAATAACACCCACTTTAAAACGAGAATATCGATACGAATAATTGTGGGGTTACTAATTCTGAGCATATTTATAGATTGAAGAAGCAGTGCATGTCATAATCTAATATTGCATAACGTTTTTTATTACATTGGCATTTTATATATGCCATGTTATAATTTTTCGTAGTTTATCATTTGTTTACTTGACACAAGTGTCCTTGACTCAATGCAATAATGCCATGAACTGAAATAACAGCATTGGAAAATACCTTTATGTTAAAAATTAGGCATGAAAAAAAAGGTCGCTGCAGTGCCCTTCTGATACTGAATGACCTCCCCGACGCTTGATAAGTTGGAAAATCCCTCGACGATTTTGAATCCGTTCATAAAGAGAGCAACTCCATGACAGTGTAAAATATATACTGTCGACGGATAGCTCTCTTCATTTTCGAATTGCTTAGTGATGAGTTTCTCAGTGATTGGCACACATTATCTGAAATAATGATATAGCAATTTATTATTAAGATAAAAATGATTGATCAAAAATATTTATAGCATTAAACAGTGTTATTAATATTGCGGGAAAAAAGTAGTTTCTATGCAAATTCTGTGTTAGTAGCTTCTACCAGCATAATTACAACCCATTTTCACCTGCAACCAACAATGTTTACAAAGTCAATTAACACCAAGACCTGTTTTAAACTGTGGGACGACACAATTATGTTAAATTTGTTTAAAGCGTCTAAGCAGAGTTATTTGTCTCTTTGAATTAATCACTTATTAATGAAAAAAGTGTTAAGAGTTGTTTGAATAATTTTATGAAGTCTGAAATGTAAATATCACCTAGATAAAAAGGCTCATGTTGTTGATGCCTACATTAATTTAAATATTTACCTAAGATAAAGGATTATTTATTAAAGAAACTGATGTGTTATCTTTAAGATATTTGTGCTGTTGCAACAATAGAGCCATAAACTAATTAAAACATTATAAAAATGATCTACGTAAGACAATATATTAACAAATTCATGGAATTGTTGCAAAGTTTGCGCAAATATTTTGCTTATTACACACCACCAACGTGTGTCATTACGACCAAGGGGAAAATTTAATTATTTCTATCGCACATCACGATATTACAGAACTCTTATCGTCATATTTCCCAACGCGAATTAATAGAAACAGATATGCCGGTGAGTCAGAACAAAATGCTTGTAAAAAGTGATATAATATTGACTATTGAGTATACCTATGAAATTTAACGAAAGCCACTATTAGAATAGTGTAACAGAAATATTTTCCACAATAGATGTGATAACATTATCGGTGTTTGCATTTGATAAGGAATACTTACTTTTAACCTCATTATTTTCAACAATATTACAACAATTTCTCGCTTATTTACGATTTCCTTCTAAACACAACTATGACACTGTAATATGATTTACTTCGACTAGGACAAACAAATGGTTTAGTAACGTGTACCGAACAAAAGAAATTTTTATTTTCATTTGTGGTTTACGAGCGACGTTTCTACGGATTTATTGGGTAGTAATAATTAAAAAAAAAATCTAGCTTCAAGCTGATTTAAAACGCAAATCTCATTGAGAAAGCTATGTTTGTGTTTGATATAACAAAAGAATGTCATTTTCATTATTATAATTAGCATGTCTTGCTTTATTCTCGTTTTTACTTGTGCCTACTTTGTGAAAACGTTACAGGTGGTCATCTCGGATTATTGTTTAAATATTTGGTTTAAAACGGTGTACGAATTCACTTTTAAATGTCAAAGAGCTATTTCAAATATTCACTGATAACAAAATTAATACCATTTTTATCAATACATGGTTCGTGGAAGGGATCGAACTGCCAAGTTTTAATAATCGATTGAAATGAAACCATGTTTTTTCGTTGCAAAGATTTTAAGATCATAATTAGAAATTATTTGGCAAGTGGAAGGAATAATTAATAAAGCTAAAGTAATTTAAATAAAGGTACATACCATTTAAAAGTTCGGGCGAAAAACACGTGAATGATTCGTCGTCGTGGGAGTAACACCTGTAGGTACTTGACACGTAGCTCGACATGTATATATAAGCATTACCAACTGACGTCACGCCTTATCATTAACACCTGTAGTGGGGCAATTATATTGCTATACTTTAAAGCAGACTATTTACATACGTTAATTTTTTTAAGTCACAAACAAATGCAAGGAATTATGAAAATTGGGTTAATTTAGAGACTCTTCTCTTTGTAAAATATGTAACATTTAATTTTCGAAAATTTCCTTAATGACACAAAATGTCGAGCACAAAAATGTTTTGGATTTGTCCATAGAAATTAAGGAAGTGGATGGATATTCAGTGTTGACTTGTACTCGACAAGCCGGTCAGTAAATATTTAACATAAAGTTTCAGTTAACGTGTTCAGTAGCGTGTTTAGCCACAAAGTATTACACTTTTCCAAATATAGCATTTCATAGTAATTTGTATATAGTATAGTATAATAGTAATTTACTAAAATTTTAGAACAATTAATAATATATTCATTAATTAAACAAATTATTTGAAGAGGCGATGTTACTTTTGTTGAACATTTTCTTAAAATTATTTATGGCTTAGTTGTTGTCCGGCACATTATTTGCTTCTTAACGATAATTCTGTATACCTTGTGAAGTAATGATTCTCAGTTCTATATCAGCTAGCTTTAGCTTTAGGTAAATATTAATATTAATTTCAACACCATTGTTATCTTATGAACAAACACTTTTTAGATACGAAGAATAAAATCGTAAAATATGTTCATTATCTTTTACATATTTTTAATAGAAGTTTGGTAATTTAAATCGATGAGGCTTAAAAGTCATTTTCACTTTAGAAATTTGTAAATTACTTTATCAGTTTTAATTCTTAGTTACTGAATCCTCGGCTTATATTCAAGGTCGTGCGTTTTACTTAGATTATTATTTGTATAATGATAACATAGTTGACACTGTACCAAAATCTTACATTGTGCAAAAAGTTGCATTATAATTTCTATATATAATAGTGACTTATGGTTCACGTTAAAAATGTTGGTCAATATAATTATTTTAGAAGAGAGGCGCATCCACCAAACTTCTCTCTATTCAACAGTGAAATTTATATGCTAAGTAATAAATGTGAATTTTGTCGTTTTGATTACTTTTATTTATATCTGTAAACACGAGTTCTGTAAATTAAAAGTCGTAATTTAAAAATGATTACATTTCTTCTGTCAAAAATAACGGAGTTTTTAATTTCAAAAATTCGGCATTCAGAACATTTTTTCCATTCCTGTTCTTTTCAAGATTTATACAAAACTCATATTAAGATTTTTTTTTAAATGTCGTACTTATGTTAATTTTAAAATTCTAGTTATGACTTACTACTAGTTGTGAAAAATTCATATACCCAATGTACACTTACCAATTTCGATCTAGTAGAGCAGACGTCAAAATCTTATTAGAGTCACGAGTGATCAAAAAGTTTTCGGATTAGGGTAGCCTTTGGAAATACTTTTCATTTCTTAGATTAAAACGGTAAACCTTACAAATATCAATGTCAGCAAATCGAAGACGTTAAAATCATAACGGAAAGCCACTATTCAAATGATTTAATATTGCGAATGCGAATTTAAATCATCTTTTTGTCGCCATGGAATCGTGCTTCGAAATTTTCTCTCCTTTAATATAGGCAACCCATCATGCATGAGTCGGAAAACAAACATAACCTTGTTCGAAATTTAATTTGACGATTTTGAATTTTAACTTTTTGATCGCCCGTTATATGTTACTTGAACAGGCATGAATTTTAAGCAAAATCGACGCGTTTGTAAAAAAATTCTTAAAGGAGTGGAATCTGCTAGATTAACCAGCTAAAAAGTTGCGGATAACCGCAACAAAACATGTTACTTAGGTAAGATGTTCTACAATTTTTAGTGCTTATTAACGAGTTTATAAATTTATTTGCTTTGAAATAATTGTCCGGAAACAAAGTTACGGTAGTGCTGTTGCTGTAGAATACGATGTACCCACGTTCATCGCACCATAACCGATTACAACCATAAAACTTATTAAAGAACCGATAATAACGATTGACACTTTGTTCAAAACACAAAAAACCGATTAATCTCATGAGAACACATAATCAGAGATGCTGTCGTTATATGTAAGACAATAAAAATTTCATCAAATTATTTTAGTCTTAAAATTAATTACATAACACGATTTCAAAACATCTTTAACCTTCTCGAATACTTTGTTTTATTTCGGGAACAACCTCAAAACAAAAAATCGACGCTAAAGCATCATGAATCTCACATTAGTTTACTTTATTAAATATTTAGGTATTCTCTATGAATAAATGAAAATGACCAAATTTTAAATAAACACTTGTTTATTGTTTGCACTTTTGGGTACCTAACAGCAAATTAAAGTTCGACGAAAGTCATCGTTTAATTACTACTGAACTTGAAATTTTAGTTCGTTACAGTAGAGGCAGTCAGTCTTCTTGCCTGGAAAGACCTTTCCCTATTTTAAGAGTAACAAGTAAAATGTTTTCGCAATGTAGACTGACAAAGACAGCCTAAACTAGTCGGTTTTTGTTAATCCCATATTACTAGGTAAAATTGTATGTTCACTACAGATAACAAATGTAACAAATGAGAAATTGATAACGAAAGGTGTAATACAATAAGACATCAGAGGTTTAATGTTTACTTTTTTCTTTGATACAGTGGCGAGTATATTTCGGGCGATAAGAGGTGAATAAATATAAAACAATTTTTTGTTTACTTGTTAGAAACTCTAAAAAGATGGCCACTTCCATCTAGATAATAATAATAATAATAACCCTTATTTGTGCTACTGTGCAAAGTATTTACACAGATCAAATACACAGGATTAAATGAGGATATAGATAACCTACATAAAATTACAATAAATGAAATAACATTTATTCCAAAATAAATTTATATGAAGATATTCTTCAACTGAATAATTAATACATATATAATATTATATAAGCAATTAAATTAAAGATCACCATTAATTATGCACAGAGATGACGTTTGCGAAACGAACCGTAGACGAGTGAAGCAAATCATCTTAGTGAATAATGGCCAGAATTGCAAATGCAATACTATACTTTTTCTTCTTCCAAACAGAGAGAAATCACATAAAACTTTAAAACGGAAAACACCACTACCCATCTATGCTTAGATTAGCAATGTAAAATAATGGATCGTCGTTATTTTTATTGCCAACGTTTTTTCTTATTCGTTCAACGTACAGGTGAAGTATGAAATTCTCCCTAGCCGAAGGCAGTGAAATATTGGTACTATTACTAATCGAAAAAAAAAAAATAATGTGAATATTACGAAACGGGAGTACAAGAAAGTTTATGCTGTTGGGTAAGATATTGAAAAATTATGTGATATAGTAAAACGTACCATATATAGACCTATTTAATCTTAATGATTTAATTTAAAGCATAATTATTTCTACCTTATACGAATTTACACAGTATTGATCTAAGTAAAAAATACTTGACACAATTAAGTTTATTCCTCAAGAACTAGACATTCGCAGATAAAATCTTGATGAACACTTTTTGCTGTGCTGGATGTGTTTCCTTCTTTCCTCGCTTTTCTTCGAAAAAAACGCCATATATAAGTACCTTGTGACTATCTGTTGGCATCCATTGTGTTTTTCTTGTTAACCAAATCTACAATTACTTTGTAACAAAAATAATATGCAGGATATTTTGATGGAACCGTTTAACATTTAACATCTGGAAAATCTGTTTTTACAAGTGGTCTCTAGATCAAGTCGAAAAACATAAGAATGTCTTTTTAGGAGCCACTTTGAAAGTACTATAGCTTTGTCAGATCCATTTTCCGGACTACATATTTATTTCTATTGCCATCAGTTTCTCTTTTTGTTTTAAGATTGTTTTTTTTGTTCACTACTACATACCTTAAATCATCACTATCGTCCTCCTGTGAGTCGTACTGAACGTCAACGTTAAAATTCTTGGGAAATAGGTATTTCCAGTTTGTACTCAAATTCGTCATCATTTGAGGAACTGAGTCATACAAGCCCACAATATTTGTTTGGTATTATATGCAGGTTAGAAAAACAAATGTGATTATGATTACTCTGACGAAGATTATTTACATTTTGCCAGTGGTAGCGTAGTTTGGCACCTAGGGCGGTTTTCTATTGAGTACCCTCCCATATACTTACGGGTCTTTATTTTAGCAAAATATTCTATGACGTTATCAAAATTTACTTTCCTTTCTTTTTCAATTGATAAAATGGAAAGATTGTTTAGTCGTGCTTAGCTCATTGTGGATGATTTTATCAATTTCAATTTAAAAACATGTTTTTGAGTATGTGTTGTTCAAAGAATGCTATGTATATTAAGAAATAAAGAAAAGCGAAGATTAGGCCCCACTCATACCCGCCCCGATCTCAATTCTCGATTGTGATAAATTTTTGATTCGTTGTCAGATCGAGGAGCGGGGCTTAATTGCAAGATCGATATTTTCTATAAGAATTTACCATTTTAAATATGTTTTAAGTTTCTTATTCTGAGAATATAATTCATATATCACATGACCCTATTTCTTCCAATAGAATTTGCTCATGCCCTTAGTTACATGTCTATCACAGCGATAATAATTTTATTGCCTTATTGTGGTCTGTTGCTACCTAAATTTAAAAACTGTCAAATTTGACAAATTTTAGAATTTCATATTTTTTTTTGTCTATTATGGCTTACCAACGTTGAGGGCAAGCTCAAAACGACGAAATCAATTCCATTATCAAAAAATGTGTTCATTTATTATATTCTCATGTTGAATATAACTCGTGATATGATTAATAATCGAAGATATGGCTCGTGAAACCGAAGCAGCACATTCAACTCGTGCTTCGCACTCGTTGAATCTGCAGCTCGGTTTCACTCGAAATATTATCGATAATAATCATATCACTTGTTATATTATAAATGAAAAGACAACTACGTTTATTAAGAAAATAGATAAAGCCCCGCCCACCCGCCCTCTCTCAATTGCGGTGATTTTTTTATAATCGTCGAGAGCCAAAGAAGCGGAATTTAAATGCAAAATTCTTATTATTTCTCTCTCTACAAGAAATTAGTTGTGTTATTTAAAGGATACTGTGTATGTTAAGAAAAAAATAAAGCCAAAGATGAAGCCCCACCCATAACTGCCCTAATCTAAATAGTAATGAAGTTTTCATTCATTGGCAAACATAGGGGCTGAGCCTAATTGCAAAATCTATGTTTCCGTACAAAAATTTACCATTTTAAACATGTTTTAAGTTTCTAAAAATAAAAAAGTTATCACAGTTGAGACGGGTGGTTGGGTGGGATTTATATTTTACCTTTTTTTCTTAATACACATAGTATTCTTTGAACAACACGATGCCCAAAAACATGTTTTTATTTTCGTTTAAACAAAAAAAGTATTTTGCAGTTAAGCTGAGTCCCCTTGGTTCAGGGTGAATGAAAAACATCATCGCAATTGAGATAGAGCGAGCGGGTGTAGACTTCTTTTCACAACATGAAACTTAAACCATGTTTAAAATGGAAAATTTGAATAAGGAAATATCGATTTTGCAATTAGGCTCCGCCCCATAATTGCAAAACCGATATTTCCTTGCATAAACCATTTTAACCATGTTTTAAGTTTCTTGTTATGAAAATATGGCTATGTACATTAAGAAAAAAAGGCAAAATATTAGGAAGTATTATAATGAAGTCCGTCGGCCGACTCCCTACTTTTACATTTTCTCAACCTTTCATGACCGCCAGAGTACGAAGAATTGGGTCTCCCGTTTCCGTCTGTCTGTTTGTCCGTCTGCCGTCCCGATTTTTTTGTATGTTTTTGAGTTTTTGCAGAGTGATTCTTCTGTAAGTATTCTCTGGCTGTGCGAGTGAGTTGTCGTTGTCATCCTTTGGTGCCGCCACTGCATTTTGCGATTCAGATGTTTGCTCTAGGAAAAATTTCCTTGAATTTCTGATACTTTTGACGTTGGTTTGTTCTACTTTATGATTATGTCCTTAAAGATCAAGTCAGTTTAAGAGATGTTTTATGCAGTTGTATGGTAAGTAACATAAATATTGACATTTTTTTGGAAACGATAATGAAATTATTCAGGAACTGTGAAAAATTCGCTTGAAACCCATAGAAGATGAAATCAGTTGTATTAGATAATACTGATGCAAAGATTATTATATTGGTTTTATTCCACCCTACTTAGGTTAAGTAGCCGAGGGCGGTAACGTTTGCGAATGTCTGTAAAGTTTACGAAGGAGTTGCAAAGTCTGAAATATGGTGCAAAAAAAGAAAATGAATAATTTTGGTTAGTTCTTGATAAAATCGGGATGGTAATTAGGCGATTTTATATCTTAGAAATTGTTTTCATTTAGTTAAAATACAGTATATAACAGGTTTTACTGCTATCAAGATACACAAAGGGTTCGTGTCGAGCATTTATGACGATAACATATTTTTTAAGTAGGTATTCAGTAAATACAAATGTTTATTTCTCTGCATCGTTAATTTTTTTTTTTAATTTTCATGTCACGTGTAGATGCGATTTAATTTCTTCCCTATCTATATGTTACAGTTTTGACACTTCAAGGTCACAGCTTATGGCTATGACCTTGAACCAGCATCATTTGATTACTCATCCAGACGTTTTAAATTTCAAAGCTGTACCTCCAGCGGTTTCAAAGTAATAAGGCGGAAATGATTTTAAAATTCCATTATATACTTAATTCTACATATTTATTAGAAAGCAATGTGAACGGTTTTAAATTTAATAAAAAGAGTAAGATGCATATATTTATGATTTATGTGCTATAATTTTCCGATCTTTCGTTTTATTTATTTTTTTTTTTCAGAAAATTTGTTGCTATCTATTATTTTTTTATAAATGCAACTTTGTCGTATTAACGTTTTTATAGGTACCCAAAATTAGCAAAAATACGTTAAATTATCGGCAACTCAACTCAACCGAGTCAGTTTTGAAACTCACTGTCATGAAAGATAAGGCTTACACATGGCATTTCATCGCCTGTTGTATAGGCAATTTATTATACAATATTTATCAAGTTCAACCGGTTTAGCGAATGATTATTTACTTGGAACGCAACTGACTTCGGTATTTTGATCAGTATTCATTAATTCCGTTCGTCGTAAACATGTTTCTCCAACGCGTTGTAAAAGTTGTTACAAAAGTTAATAAGCAATGCATTCACAGTGAGTATAAAATGCTATACAGATAGAGCAATAACGATTACTTGATACTAATCCTCGATTTAAGTTACTACTTTTGCCTTGAACATTTAGAGAACTTTAAATGGTCAGATGCGTAGATCTATTACTTTATGTAATATAATAGCTTAATTAACCACACTTAAGTAAACAAAAAAATTTAAACTGCACATTTGTTATCATTGAATTGTTTTGATCGTGCAATATTAAGAATAATCGGCTATAATCAAATCAATAATCATATTCTAATCTGAAAGTGAAAATACTGGTGTCAGAAATAACGCTTTAATGTAGATATGGAATCACTTGTAAAACATAATATTGATATCGTAGATACGTGGCAGTGCGTTTTTAACAAATGGGTACCTATCTAACCTGATCCATAAATAAACCATTTGGCAAAATTAATACGAATAATGAATGCTTAATTATATGCTGATAAATATTAATGATATGGGGCGTTAACTGACAAAAAATTTAGCCCAATATTGTAAGATAATTTGAGTTACAGATATAAAAGCAAATTACTCTTAAATTATTGTTGTTTATGCAAAGTGGGAATTTTTTACAAGAAAACATCAAGAGTTGACATTCCTGGTATTTTTTAACAATATGAAAATTCAGTTCCAGGGCGATAAAAAACTACTGGGGACCATAATGAACCGTCACTTTGACTTTATGAAAAAAAAAAGAATAAAGCCTCGCTGTAGGCTATAGTATCTAATTTAAACTGCAGCTTTGGTTCTCTGCTCTATGACCTTTCCTTATTATAAAACAAGTTTTTGATTGACATTTTCATAATAGATTTGGTTTTTACAACAAGCTTTTCATTTTTTACTTGACGAGCGTAAGTTAAGGAAGTATAGCAATCGAGTCCATCGGACGAATGCCCACTTTTTTATTTTTATGTTAAATTTACAAGTGGACAAAAAAATTAAATGCCGCTGAACAGAACTTTTAGTGGCAAAAAAAACTTACTAATACATAACAAGCAAGTTAATTTTGTGAAAACAATTTTTAATAATAAAATAATTTGGTAGAATTAATTACATTAATTACTAGTGTACACTAGGGTACTATGAGTTTTCATTGCAATTATGAACTGCAATTTTTTGCTTTTGAACTATTGTACCTACTTCTTAACAAATTGTTTTAATTGGTAGTTTTTGACTTGAAATGCAGATTGAAAAAATTTATTTTTTTATGATGACCGCTATAAGTTAAAATATAAAGAAGGGCGTATTATTAAACTACAAGTAAAGAAACGGCATGTGTATGTTTCAAATGAGTTCGGTAATGTCAACAAATTTTTAGCACTTGTAGTTTCTTAAAACACAACAAGAACTAAATTTTATATGGAAAAATTGCAAATTTAAACGTTTCAAAAAAAATACAGACATCTCCTGCGATTTTGAAAAGGTTGCTTGACTTCCTGAAAAGTTTAACAGCAAACTAACCCTGATTTATGTATTATGTATATGTATGTAAAAATTTAACCATAATTTACTTCTATGTAGTTTCCTAAGTTATTGTGTCAGAAAATTGTTAAATAAATGTTTAGTAACAAATAATAATTGTTTTGTGGAATTACTATTATAGGGGACGTCTCGATAAACAAATATATAAAGCAATCCATTTTGTCGATTATTATCTCAGGAAACGCTTATCTAACCTTCTTCAAATTTTTGGCAACTCTTAAGACTAACCACGGTTATCTTAAAATTATTACATTTATCTCTAGCAATCTTAAACCTTTGCTGGCAAATACAAATACTCCGAGTTACATGTGGCCTTGACTGACAACGAGAAAAAGGTAATGCTTAGAAGTCATAACCTGTAGTTACATTTTTTTTGCTATTTGCGTTGAGTATATATGTATATACTGTTAGGTCATTACGGATCAAAGATTGTTTACATTCGCAATTGAGCAATTAAATTAATTATGAAGATAATTAATAATAAAGATAATTCCTCATAACAATTCACGAATAGATAGATACTGGTAGAAAGATAAAAAAATACGGTGGTTGCTAAGCCAGTGATCTACCGGACCGATTGTTGCCAGGGACTGATGACGAAAATCGGAAAATCTGTTTATTTACTTTACAAATCTTAGTTTGAAAAGATGATATGACATTCCATTCATGAATAATAAAACATTTAACGTACAAGATAATGTTTGTGCATTTTTATGTAGCATATAAAAGAAATTGAGCTAACGTTATTTAGAAAGTAGGTTACTTCATCCGTTATTACTTCCAGTAATATTCGAGTGTATTTTTGAATAGATATTTATTTAGAAATTTTTGGGAAGAATAAACTTATTAATTTTAGTAGAATGATTGATAACTTTTCGAATTTAGGCACTAGTTGGAAACAGCTCAGAAAGCTCAGAACATTTTAGACACAATAGCCTTGAAAAACCATTGCATAAATGACACCTGATTTAAGTTTTTTTTTGTAGTTTACATCTAGCACATGAATTTTTGTAGTGTTTCAACTACTGACCAAACATGACGTAGTGGCTGTGTCCCATTCCGGTTGGAAATAAATGAACTATTGTTAAAATAATAGAAAAAGAGCAGTTCCGCTTGCATGTTAGAGCATTATTCCTCAGTACAGATTCATTTATTAATGTTTTATAACAATAGTAGAGATATTTTAATTTTAATATCTATGTGCAGATTTTCTAAACAAATATCAAATAAATCAAAATTCTTACTTCCATTAATATAACTAATTATTCTGCAACTAAAAACTAAGTGAATTCAAAATACATTTTTTACAACTACGGAATAAATACCTACAAAATGTCTATTAGTTTTCGCAAATATTTTTTAAGAATAATCCGAATAGTTAATATGTATTAGTTATTATCTTCTATAAGGTTATAACATTTTTTAAATCATAGAGTACGTCACGATGTACCCACATAGTACACAATTTCAGTTTCGATCTCTTTGGAACGAAGTTCTAAATAATGTTGTTCCACGCTGATGGATCATGGGAAACTACATATACTTATAAATATTAGGAATTAATTTAGTTCATTTGTCTCCTCCGATTATTACTTATTTATTAGACGGCGTTACTAGCTACACACGGAAGATTTTCTTTTAACTGCTTTGTCTTTTCAGAAAGAGATGGGAGTCATTTGGCCTTTATTGGTATTGGCAACATGGGTGCAAGAATGGCCACAAACTTAATAAAAAAAGGTGAGACACTTCGAATTTATGATGTCCTACCAGAAAATTCCCAAACAGTACAAGGCGCCCAGATTTGCAATTCACCTGAAGAAGCAGTAAAAGATGCCAATGTAATCATAACAATGTTACCAAACGGTGATATTGTGAAACAAGCTATTTTAGGAGAAAAGGGCATTTTGAAATCTGCAACCAAAGGGTCTCTTTTGATTGATTGTTCAACAATCCAACCTCAAGTGGCCCAAGAACTGTCAAAAACAGTAAAGGAAAACGGATACAACTTCCTTGATGCTCCTGTTTCTGGAGGAGTAACCGGAGCACAAGCTGGTACCCTGACTTTTATGGTTGGAGGTGATAAACAAGTATTAAAAACAGTAGAACCTGTTCTTCTTAAAATGGGTGCTAACATTCACCACTGTGGAAATCCGGGAGCCGGTCAAATTGCGAAATTATGCAATAATTTGATATTAGCCATTACAATGATCGGTACAGCGGAAGGTATGAATTTGGGAATTAAAATGGGTCTTGACCCTAATTTACTGGCTTCTATTATTAACGTTTCCACTGGCAAAAGTTGGTCTTCGTCTACTTACAACCCTGTACCAGGCCTTATCCCAAATATACCCCCTAGCGATGATTACAAAGGGGGATTTGCCGTGAAACTGATTGCTAAAGATTTAGGATTAGCTGAAAGTGTTGCTGTTTCCTGTGATGCTCCTGTGCCATTAACCGCAGCTTCCCACCAACTGTACAGGGCTCTGATTTCAAATGGATATGGCAACAAAGATTTTGCTGCTATTTACCAGTTCTTAAAAGGCACTCAATAAGTTTACAATAAAATTTTGACGAACGTGTGTTTTTATTTAAGTATAAGAAATTCAATTAATATCGGCTTTCACACTTTTTTACTACAAACTCTTAAGAAATTGGGTAGACGTTTTAAACATTATAGAACATTTTACTTGCAAAATTTTGCTTATAATGTTGGAAGTAATTTTGTGTTTTTTTTTTATTTTATACAGGCTGACTAAAAAAGTGAACGCTAGGATATTGGTATTATCTATTTTGTTTGACTGTACTTCAGAAGCGAAGGAACTTCTAATAATATGAGACTAATTTTTTCCACCCATCCAGCTGGAAGTATTTATAAAATTCAGGTTGGTGATTAGTATTCATTGTGTTCTGTTAAAATTTTTCTTCGTCTATCGGCAGTAATTGCATAAGCTGGAATGTTTTATAGATAATTTTGTTGAGATTTATAACAATAATAAGAACAATTAAGGCTAAAGGAAACAGATGACTTATTCAGTGTGTTTTTTAATCGAAATTTACATTAATACCTAATACATATTGCGAATCTGCAAGTCAAAAATCCTTTGTAGTGCGATTACAATCGTTGATAATCAATTTTTAAATACTTATTTCTAAAAACGCATGGTCATATCAAAATCTGCTAAAAATAGACGTTGTAATGCGCGTTGTGTCACCACATGGGCAGTGTACTAAATTAAGCTTTCCCCTTCAAGCTAACAACAATGGCGTTTATAGAATAGCAATATTTCTATCCGGTACCTTATAGGCTGCACAGTGAAGATATTTAGCAAAACTGCAATACAGATGGTAATCAGAAGATACCCCACACCAATTTCTTAATGAGGAACATTTTTTTGAACCTTTAAGAAATCAGAATCTTCCCGTATTTCGTAACGAAATTACATACGTACAATGATTGTGTTTTTGACGTTTGAAGTAAATTTTAAATAAGATGTGATTTTTGTGAATTAAGGACAATGGTGATAATGTTACAAACGTATTCAGTAAATACATCAAAAATAATTTAAATAATTATCACCCACATGAACGTCATAGCTTAACTTAAATTCACATTTTAGAATAACTGGGTAGATTATAACCATACATAAACTCGAATCAACTTTACATTTGATTATTGAGTTTCAACAATCATATTTCAACAAAAGTTTTTATTTCATAAATTAAAACTATTTAGAAATCATTCACAGTTGTACTGAAACTTTCCAAGTTGCATTCTATTGGTAAAATCACACGGTGTATGATTTTTCTAAATTTAAAAATCTTGAAAGGATAACAAAGATTTTACAATAATGTGTTCGATGAATACACCAAAAAATAATTTTACATTTGTCTTTAAACATTATATAGTAGGATCCTGAAAAGGCTGTTTCTAAATACCTTTCTGTAATTAATCCAAGGATAGAAAACACAAAAATGTTCGTAAGTTTAGTGAAGTGACACAATTTTGATGAATGTGTATGTGTGTGTAGGTATTTTTTTTTGTTTTTTATGAGTTTCACAACTTCCATAATACAAAAATACAGGTTTTTCGTTTCTATTTTATTGTCGGTCGTCTAAAATACAAGTTTATTTGAAATTTTATATACAAATCAATAAATTCATCTTCTTCAAAAAAGTGATGGCATAATCTGAAAGTATTAGTAATTAAGTAGATATTATTCCTTTGTGTGTGATTTATTAATCTGTTTTTTTATTACACTACATACATTACTACATCTTATTACTTTACTTTGTACAGGTTGTTTAAAAAAAATATCTTTGGATCACTAACGTTTACAGTTTTTGAGTTATGCTTAATAATTTATTTGTCTGATGAGACACTTCTCGCCAAGTTTTTATTATTTGGTGGCCGTATTTTGAAAGTATTTACATAAGAACGCAAAAGCACTGTTGCATTTTTAAAAACTAGGTCAAACTGGCTTAGATCCGCATTTTTCATTACTATAAGCAACCCACAATGCAACAGATAATTCTTGGGTGTAGATACTCCGTACGCAATCATGACCGAATTCCACCTATTTTCTCACTTTCTCACGCTTGTCGCTTGTTTTTCTCTGTTCTGTTGCGCTAGGTTTTCAAGTATAGTTTTTTTTAACCAGCGAGTCCGTGAATATGACAGCGGACCGCATCTTCCTAAGCCGTAAAAATTTTGGTTATCTGCAGTTGATGTAATAATAATGTTATAACAAACATTTACAGTTTAGTGAAGGTATGTAGTATTGTTTTATTGCCACATATTTTGCGATACTTCCTGCATGACTGTATCAGTTTTACATGACAGTGAATAAATTTTAGGTTAGTTTGAAAAAGTCGAAAAAGTTGAAGCTAAATGGTGTAGCAAGTACAAACTACTATATATTTTGAATTTTTGTTAATTTTCAAACCTTATTAAAAATGGGTATTATCATTACAAAATTTAGGGTAAGTTCTTGTTTTGTGTATGGACTTGCAGCAACTTATCGAGAGATTTTAGAAAAAGAAAACCACCTACGAAATTTTAGAGAAACTAGAAAATGAAATTCAGTCAATTGAGGAGTTTAGGCGAAGCACGGAACAAACTCAAAAGAAAATGGTGGGCCGTTTCATATTTATATCTATCTGTGTCTACTGCCTGACAGCTCTTATATTTTACTTTTTTGTTCCTGCAACCGCTTATGAAAGGATAATTTATATAGTACCACTAATTATATTACCAATGTTGTGAGCCTGGTTATTTTTAGATGTTACAAGTGGTTACTTATAAATAACATTTTAGGTTGATTCTTATAAAACGAATTTTATCATGGTATTATAATAGAAAAATTAAGAAAAACCAAAAGAAATTGTCTAGTTTAAAGGATGAAAAGAAAAAAATTTTAGAAGAAGTTATGGACAAAGAGACTTACAAAGTTGCCAAAACTATTTTAGAAAAATTTGCACCAGAGCAGATTAAAAAAAATTATTCAACTGCAATTAATGAAAGTACCCCCGTTAAAAGTGGACCACTAGCTCCTGTGAATTCTGCTGTTCAAAGTCAAGCAGGTAAAATTGTGTATTTATAACATGAATATCAATATTGAAGCAACCACGTCAATTTTAATGAGACTGAAACTAGGTCGTTTTTAGCTATATTACTTACTATGCATTTAGTTTTGAAGTATGCATTAAACTTTCTTATGATCACTTAATTGTTCATAAAAACCCATTAACTATAAAATTATTGCTTTCTGCAATGATTGCAGGTTTAAGGTATAGGGGTCAATTTTCTTCCACTCCTAATCAGCTGACTGTTGGAACGGCCATAACGCCAAGGCCACGACTTACTTTTGCATCTTCAGTTACTCCAGGGTTGCTCCCAAAACCACAGCCACAAAATATTGTACCAAGTTTAGGGCCTGCAGGACTCTCTGGCACACCTTTGCTGTTGCCAAGGGCTGTTTTGCCAAGAGAACGTTCTGTTTTAGATAAAATGGTAGACTATCTTATTGGGGATGGACCTTCCAATAGATATGCACTAATTTGTAAAAATTGTTCTAGTCACAATGGTAGGCGAGTTTAAATTGATTATTTGAAATATTAACACTGTCGTATTTTTAAGGAATGGCTCTAAAGGAAGAATTTGATTATCTTTCATTTAGATGTTGTTATTGTTCTGCATTTAATCCTGCCCGTAAAAAGCGACCTATTGCCCCCAAGCTAGATACAACACTTTCTATTAAAAACAAACAGTCAGATGTATCTGACTCCGATAGACATTCACAAAGTGATACAGAATCAGAATCAGAATCTGCTGCTCCTATAATAACAGAACCATATAGTGATTCACAGGATGAACATGAACCTCAGGTTCATGAGACAGCGACGAGTTTATCAGATTCTGATAAATTATCAGACTTTGACATTAAAAACTCAGACACAGAGTCATCTGCCATGGAAGTTGATACAACTTTGTCACCTACAGAAGAAAACACAATTAGAAATAGTGACACCACACATGAGAGTCATGTTGAATCTGTAACAGCTGAAGAACCAAAACAACAAGACTGACAAACAAAAGTTGTCTTATTTAAAATCTCTGTTAAAAAAAAAGAGAATGTTTACTTTATTAAGTTGATTTTTTCTTTGTGTGTAACTGTGAAAGTACAAATCCTAAATAAGAAAATCTGCTGGTCAACTTCCCTTTTACAGTTATATCTAATGAGAAAATCAATTTCATACAGTTAATGTTGTCTTTGTATGTATGTGTAAAGGGGAACTTGACGTCACTGAGATCGTTTTTTTGTGGGTTTTGTACTGTATTCACACGTTCTATTTATTGTTGTCGTATATAGGGAAGTGCGTTGTTTAATTTATATCTTTACTTAATGTAAATAACCGTTTTGCTTTTTATTTAACCCAGTAGACACAACTTTGATATTTTAATTCAACTAGAATGAATAACAGGTTATGGATTGTGATATTGGAATGTTTTTTTTTTGTTTACAATTAGGTGCCTTTCTGCATTTTATACAATTCTCAATAAAGCTTATTACTTCTGGAAAGTGTGAATATTGTTACCTTTTGAATTCTAAAACAACTGACAAATTTAAATAGTGTAGAGGGAAATGTGTAACAGAAACTGACTTCGAAAATTGTGTTACAACAACTTTGTGCAACTGCTGGGTTAAGCGGATCGCCACAAAAAATATTTCCCGCATTATTTTGAAATCCGTAATTGGTAATTCTGGTTTCTGACGTTTAATGATATTGACATTCACGATGCTTTTACTTCATTTCAGTTCAAAAAAAAATGGCTTAAGAAGACGCGAACAAAACCAGTAAGCTCGAACAAAACAAACTCCTGGACTGGTGGTTCCGAGTTTAAGTTTTTTCAGATGAGGTACTCTGCTAAAAAAATAAATAAGTAAATAAAAATAAAACCAAATATTTCAAATTGTAGTGAAGAAGCAAGTCCCTCGAATGATAAAATGGATATTTCTGAAACATCTGATGCCTCTAGTCACGATTCGAATAATTCTAGTCAAGTTTTGAATTTCGCAAATAGCGCAACTCATAAAGGGGACGTACTTGATAATACAAAATATGATACCTCAATGCTGCCTAACAAGAATGTGTCATCAACACAGAATGCAACCAACTCACATCCATTAATGTACTCCTGTACATCACCAATATCACCTGATTATCCGGATTTGATACCTGAAAAACCGAAAAGTAAACATTCTGTCTATGAAAAACATACCTTCAAACAAGATTGTCATAACTCAGGGTTTGAAAACATTTCTGAATGTGGTAACTATGAAAAACAGTTTCATTTTGAGTTGCCAGCTCCAGAACAATATAATGAATTGCCAGGTTGTTTTACAATGTATGTTTACTAATTCAGGTGGTGTACAATATGCATTTTAGATTTTCCTGAAAGCCCATCAGCTTTGAAGAAGTCGTTAATGTATGATTTACCTTTAGAAGTCACCAATGCAGAGTTAAGTGATACAGAGAATGACAAATCTGTATATGAAGCACACCTCAGTTCAAATCTACAAAATGTTTGTCTTACGATGAATGAAAAGGAGGGTATGTGTTTTACTAAGTTAGATAATTCTGATAATCTTATCTCCCCAAAGTAAAATTGCCAACTTAAATGTAGATATATTGCCAAATCACGTAAAATTATAATAAAATAAAGCTGATAGTCCCATAAAAAATGAAGAGAATCGTAAACATTTTTACTAATTGCACTGTAGTGATTGATCATAAACTTAAAACATATTTAGAAAATGAAGACAATGTTGACCAAAAAATGCATTTTTATATTGTCTGTATACTTACTTGTTTGTTCGTTTTTTTAGCGGTTAATAGTGAAAAATTTTAAAACTCTTTAAAGTTACGAAAATAACTTTAAAAGTAGTAATCTCAAATTTAAAAATATATGTAGCATTAATTTTAGTTGAAGCAGAATGATTTTTTTTATTGAAAAAACACAGTAAAAATTTTAATGAATACTGTGTGGTTCCAGCTCATCCTGAATACTAGGTACTGCTTGCTGCAGTTGCGAGTAACATATATTATCTTATCTAAGAATTTTATGGATTCGTTTAAATCATCTGTACTGAATTCGTAATGATAGAAAAAATATTTATATAGAACTCTGACGCACCTGGGGTACAATCAAACATGTTCAGTTTTTCAGAAAAAATATAAATGTCGTGATTTTTTTATGATAACGCCTATATTTTAAAATAAAAATTATCGGTAGATTAATAAACCACACGTATATTATTTTACACATTTATACAGTACAGCTTGAAAGCCAGTCCCCCCTCTCCCCTTATGACTTTGAAACCGTTAGTCGTACTTTGTATGGGTGAGTAATCACATGATGCTAATTGACGTCGTAGTAATTGAAGATTTTGAAGTGTCAAAACTCTGCCATATAGGTACAAATTTTTAAATGGCTTGAGGGTCGAGTGATCCCTCTGTTGAGAGCTGATTTCATTCTACATATGATGTCAAAGTCCCATAAAAATCGTTGAGAGTGTCTACAATCCCGTCAAACACAGCTAATAAATAAATAATAATGGATTATTAGGATGACTAAATTTTATGTACATTTTTGGAATAATATAGCATACACACTTTAGGTGTGAAAAAAATCTCCAAGTCTGATATATGTATTTATCTACTAGTATCCAGAAATTTTTTGGAACTGAAACCTTAATAAGTCATTCTTATTATGTTTTGTGAGCGTTTCACAGCTTGTCGAATACGGAAATGCAGGTGCCTCGTTTTAGATTGCCTGTTTTCTTTGTGTTGGCGATTTATTGGGCAAACACCCTTTATAACTGCGAAATTGAGTAGTTGAAAATTTGTGTGTGCATCTCTTCTAAGACACTCGAAAGCAGTATTACGCAAATTGCACTTTCAGTGTTAATAACTTATTGATTTACCTGTAATTCTGTCACCCCTGATTTTACTTCTGTGTAAGCTAAGGAGGAATCGCAATAGATTGATTCTGATTAATATCGAATTTCATTTTTATTTCCTGAGCGTAAGCAAAGTACGAAGAAATAGGTCTCTCGTTTCCGTCTGTCTGCCCGTCCGTCGGTCTGTCTGTCTGTCCGTCTGTTCGTCGGTCCGTCCGTCCGTCCGTCCGTCCGTCCGTCTTATCTGTCCGTCTGTCTGCCGTCACGGATGTTCATTAGACAGATAATCTCCGAAAGTATAGTGAACCAAGAGGTATAAGGTTATATGGCCATCATAAAATTAGTTGACCGCAAATAAATACCCCCTTTGTGTGGTTCGCACTAAGCTTACCGGTTGGCAATAAATCATCTTCTAAACATTTCTTGCTCATATTTAACAGGGCCGGCTTTCAAAGCGAGTGGTTATTTCGGAACCCTCAGCGGCTGCAGGTAGCAAAGAAATAGTGGAGTGGTGGATTTTCATATTTAGTGAAAGCCGCCCCTGAACGAAACCGCAAGAGCCGGTCGAGCTGTAGTGGACACGTTATTTACGACCCTAAAACCTTTTCTATTTTAAACAACTTAACTTCGACACAATGGGATGATTTTATGATGGCCATATAACCTTATAGCTCTTGGTTCACTATACTGGGCCGATTGTGTGTATATGGTAAAACGCTAACCACACTTTTGACTAATCATCCCCACCAATAATGTGATGACGTCACTTCAAAATTGCACATAGTAAATGGGTTTTAAATTGTATGAAATAACATAGTCCTACACATGTAGTTTATGACTCCGTATTGAGTTTTTACTTGAAACGTCCAGATTTTTGGAAAAAAAAATCAAAATTATAAAATATTTTGCCATTTAATTTGGAATCTGCAAAACCGAATGCTTTGAAATCTTGCAGATGTTTTAAAGTTGTGATAAGCATGATAAATTTGTAATCAAAATATATTTACTTATCCCCTCCAGAAAATTGATGACGTCAGCTCAAAATTTTGCCGTATAAATCCCATATAAATTGTACAAAATATGATGAGTCTGTACTTGTAATTTATCATTCCATTCATATTTTTTGGATTTACACGTACATGGTGAGTCAAAAAAAAATTAATGGGTGAATTTATTTTATTGATTTAATCAGGAACTACAAAACCGAATCCTTTGAAATCTTGGAGATGTATTAAAGTTTTCATAAGCATGGTAAATTTTTGATGAAAATGTATTTGGGCATCCCCCCTAAAAAACTGATGATGTCATATCAAAATATTGGTGAATATATCCTATCTTAAATGTGCAAAATATGATGAGTCTACTTGTGATTTATTTTTAATATATAATTAATATTTTTTAAATTTGTTTATACAAAGTGTCTCAGAAAAATTAATTACTGTGTTAAAAAATAAATATCCAATCAAATTTAGGAATTTAACTCGTTACTATAGAAATAACAATTTAACACCGTTTAAATTTAACAAGTTTTAATTGTTAACCCCGCCCACCCGCCCCCTTTTTTCTCAAAGTTTTATATCATTTGCCAAAATAAGTTTTACCTTTGCAAGTACTAGCCCCGCCCACCCGCCCTCTATTTTCTCAGAGGGTATGGCGTTTGCCAAAATCAGTCTTATCTGAGCAAGTACTAGCCCCCGCCCACCCGCCCCTATTTCCTCAGAGGATATGTTATTTGCCAAAATAAGACTTATCTTAACAAGTACTAACAAGTACAACCCTCTAAGAAAATAAAGGGCGAGTGGGCGGGGCTAGTACCTGGTAAGATAAGAGTGATTTTGACAAATGACATAGCCTCTAAGAAAGTAAAGGGTGGGTGGGCAGGGCTAGTACTTGCTAAGATAAGACTTATTTCGACAAATGACATATACTGTGAGAAAATAGGGGGCGGGTGGGCAGGCCTAGTACTTGTCAAGGTAAAACTGATTTTGTCCCTATTAATACTGTAAAAATTTGTGAAATTTAAAAATGTTAAATTGCAAACTTCCATAGTGACGAGTTAAATTCCTAAATCTACCCGAAATTTGCAAAATGTGATGAGTGTTTTGTCATCAATAGTTTTTAGATTTACTTATACAGGTGGCTCAAAAAAATGAATGAATGTGTCAATTTATTTTATTGTTTATGTCAGGAACAGCTCACTCCATTTTCCCAGAAAATTTTGGAAATACAGTACTATTATTTTTAGTATTACAATGCACCAATCCAAGTTAATATACGTGTCCTTGCAAAAATGTTGATGACATCAGCACAAAATTCTGTAAAGTAAAAACTCAACTCAAAAATACTTATTAATTAATAAAGTCAGGAACGCTCACTCCATTTTCTTAAAAAATTTTGGGAATAGAATACTGATATTTTTAGTATTACACTGCACCAATCCAAGTTGATATCCGTGTCCTTGTTTTTTCTTGCACTGACAATACGCTGTGACTACTTTTCTTTTGTGCTGTAAATAGTATTATCCATGTTGATGACGTCGTCAAAAATTTTTTATTGGTCAAATTAAGAACGAGTCACATAATAATGATAAAATAAGAATTATAATATTCAGAACATTTTGCTCGATTGTGGTTTAATTAATAATTTTAGTCCTGTATTTTGAGAAGACAAACTCATTCAAATCGAACTAATTCCTACGTGACATTCTTTCGATGTATAAACCTATCTAAATAAACATTTGAGCGTCAGATTGCTATTACCTAGTGTTGAAGGACAAGGGTTGTTAGGTAGGTTGGATTATTTTAAGTTCAACATGAGTCATCAGAATCTGACAACGGACTGTCGGTCAGTAGCGTAACATGCACACTTCAGAAGGGGGTGGTTTTTAATTTTTTTTTTAAATCGTAAACAATAAGACGCGGAAACATTAACTTAAGTGATCTGGTCAACACGGTAGCACGAATGCGGATGAATCTATTAGGCACTAATCTAAACAGGTACAGTTACCCAACGCAGGTAGAAAAGTTCACTATGACAGAAACGATGGTGCCTCTGAGGGTGCGCCCATTCGAAAGTGCTGGATATGTTACATTGTACTTCAGGAGCGATGGAAGTTCTGTCGGAGCAACTTTCGACCAATTTTTTCTAGATATAAACTTATAGGATACGAAAATATCAGTCCCTCGTTTCAGTGTAGATGGTAAAACGCTAACCAAAGTTTGTCAGTTAATTATTCCGGAAGTAATTAGATTATTTCAATGCGAAGTTTAAGCACACCAAGTGAATCTCATTCCACACATGATCTTCTTTTTGTAATGTTAAAAGTTCAATGAAAATGCTGTGTGGTGGACACAAGCTGTTAACCTACCGACAATATTTGGAAAATTGCGCATATTTTTGTTGTTAAGTACATTTCTTTGAACAACCTTGAAAAATATTTTTACTATGTTTGCTTATCTATCAGTAATAAATTTTTGCCAACGTTGTCAAGACTTACAATTATGGTGATTAATCACAGTACAATATAAATCATTTTGGAATAAAAAATTCCATTTGAAATTTATTACTAAATTTCAAGAAATATTATAATAAATAAAACATGTGTGTAGAAAGCGGCATACTACGGCCAAAACGAGATAGACTATGAGGTTACCATATCTTGACACATTTAGATTATTATCAGCAAAATTTAACTCAATTGTGGAGATTTATAGTTCGCTTTTTTGCCCGAAGATCGTGTATTCTAAACATTTTGGGACAGCCAACTAGTGTGTGGAAATAGCCATTTCCCTAATAAAACCCCCAACGGACGGTGTATTAAACGCAACTATTGGGTCAATATCACCTCAACAATAGGCAAAGGTAGACAACTCATGTGAAATATATTTACAAATCTATTCTTGAGATATTTTTTCCAAATTTTGAAAAAAGTTGTAAAATCTCAGCTGTAGAAACGGCAATCTTAAGAGTGTAACTTTATTCAGCAGCTAAAATTTCACAACTTCCGATTGTTGATTGTGTGCTTTTTTAAGAGAGGTGTTTACCAAGTAAACAAAAAGAATATAAATATAAATATACAGATAACATATCACAGCAACTGCGAAGTCGAAATACATACATTAATCAAATTTGGGCTAGGTATGAAACGATTTGATAAAATTTAGTCAGATGTTTGTCACCGTAGTGTTGGTCTTGAATGAAACATATTCTATCAAAATAGCATTGGTTTAGGGTAATTACACCCTGTCCAATATACTAAAAACGAAATCATCAAACGAATATTTTGTTTCAGGAAACCTGAATTTTTTAGCACACAAAAAGCGTAGTAACAAATTGCGTCGAGTTAAAGTAATGCAAACAGAGGCAAGTGAAGAGAGCGACATTTCATCTTTGGACAGCATTTCGGAAAGTTTAAAGTCAGAACATGTATTTACGGGTCAGTTAGAAATAAGTGGCGAGGATCAAGAAAATGAAGATAATTCTCCAGAACCTATTGAACCATTAAGCGCTGCTGATGAACGAAGGCACGCAAGACACTGGCAACGCATGGTTCTACCTGGAGGCGAGCAAAGAACAATAGACATGAGAGTAATTGAACCTTATAAACGAGTACTCTCACATGGCGGCTATCTGAGAGCTGGGGGGCATACTGCTATAGTCATTTTTTCAGCTTGTTATCTGCCAGATAAATCCAGAGTAGATTATGTTTATGTAATGGATAACCTTTTTTTGTAATTTATAACATTTTTTTATTGAGAATTATTTACTAATTCAACGTTTAAGGTATATATTATGGACACTGGAGCGTTTAGTAACTGATGATTACGTTTTGGTATATCTCCATGGAGGTGCTACAAAATTACCTGCTTTTAGTTGGCTTAAAAAGTGTTACCAGATGGTGGGTAGAAAGCTACGAAAAAACTTAAGTCACTTGTATTTAGTCCATCCAACATTATGGATTAAAACTATGCTTTTTATGGCAAAACCATTTATTAGGTAAGTGTAGGTACTGTTCTATGATTCCTTAGAAATTCGTAATTGTTCGTTTTAGTTCAAAATTTTACCGTAAGATTACCTATGTTGCCACTTTGAAAGAGTTGATGGTGCGGGTTCCGTTAGAGGCAGCAGCAATTCCTGATAAAGTTAAAGCTTATGATAGCTTGCACTGCGTTACGTAGTTTATTAACGTCAACCATTTTGCCTTGCCTATTACCTTTACAAAACATTCCTAAAGCTTTACAATGTACTTAAAAACCAGGTTTTGGTTTTAATACATCGAAGTAATTATATATTTATAACTTTTTTTAACGTAAAATGTTAATTTATTACTTTTGTTTATTTTTTTAGAAGAATGTTGAATGTGGTGTACCTATATGAAGTATTTCATTAGCAATATGTTTGTAGGATGTAATAAAGAGGGTATTTGTTGGTAAGAAATCTTTTATTTAAATGTATACAAAACTCACTTTACATACACTTTGCAAAACTTGTATGACTTAAGCGGCTTAAGCCAAACCACCCTTATAATGAACCGGAATCGCGAGGATTATTACTGTCCATTGTTGTCATAATGGAGCTGTAAAGTTTTACTAGGTATATGTGAAATGAGTTAAGTTATACAATAGCTAGTTTGACTTATAAGGGTGCTTTGGCTTAGCCGCTTTAGCCGCTAGGTCGCTTAAGTCAAAAGTTTTACAAGGTGTATGTCAAGTGAGTTTTGTATATGTACAGTTGTAAAAAATCCTTGTAGTAGTATAATCAGAAATTCAACTATTATATTATACTCATGTATGTTTTTTTAAATTAATGTTTAAATGAGCCAAAAAGTATGGTTTTAAATTTACATGTTGATGTATTATTGTTACCAATCTTATTCGCCCTTATTATACAAACATTGAGTTATTCTAAATAACTTAAGGGTTAGTGTTTGCCAACGTAGTTTGATCCTGAAACCAGAAACCTGGTCGAAATTAACTTCACAAAATATACATATTGTGACTTCACATCTTATTTTGACAATTTCTGATATGGTGCAACGAGCGTATGTATAACTACCCCTGTGAGTACTCAGAATTATTGGCAAACCGAAGTCTAAACCTAAACCGTGTGAACTACCGTCAGTTGCAACTTGAATTTTACAGGTTACAGGGAAAACGGTGCACTATTTTTTTAATGATGTTTTGACTTTTGAATTGTGTTTTGACACTGTCAAAACTAGGACTGACATCGATCTCACCGTTGTTTGAAATAATAAGTGTAAATGTCTAAAATATTTTGTAAGATATTTAATATGATGAAATCAGTAACCCGCCACGTTATTGCTGTAGGTATCAGAATTTCTGTTATATACAGGGTTTGATGTACAATCATGACATTAATAATAGTAATAATATAAAAGAAAGTCTTTGACGGTGATCTGTTAATGGATCATGTGTCAATAAAAGCGCGCCAAAAATGTGTATCAAAAAGTTAGGGATTTTGTTTAGTATATATTGGTACTGTGCAGTTCTATCATAAAATCTCACGACTGCCATCTGCGACAGATGCATGGATACATCATAGGAAGAAGAAATACCCGAGTTGTTAAGTGCTGGTGGTTGGGTGTGTAAATTTCATCACAAGAAATTTTGCAGTGTACAAACACATTAATGATTTTATTGTTAACGTTACACAGTGCTGCCTAGTTACTAATTGCGTTTAAATGAGAATAGATTACATAAGGAAATAACAATGAGCAAAAAGTGCGCGAGGTGTGAAAAGACTGTTTATCCAACTGAAGAACTTAAATGTCTAGATAAGGTAAGATTAAATTCTAATAATACTTCATTGTTAGACGAACAAAAACATCCATTTTTCTGCAATTAAGCGTGAATATTACGCCCTTCCGTTATGGAGAGGATTAAAAAATATTACCATTTATAAAAATGTTGGCCTCGTTAAAATAATTCAGTCAAGGCTGTTAATAGAAGAAAATGACTCACAAAAGTTTAAACCACTTCCCTTAATAGTACTAATGACTGACTTAAAACCACAACCGCTGTTTGAAAGTGAAAACTGTGTGCTACTTCTTTATTAATCTTTTTTTCTCTCTTCTGCAGATTTGGCACAAACCATGCTTCAAATGCAAAGAATGTGGAATGGCCCTCAATATGAGAAATTACAAAGGATTCAACAAGGAACCGTATTGCGAAGCGTAAGGCAGTTTTTATCAGTGGTATTTAATGAGATGATGTTGGTATTGCGTTTTTACACTTCAAAAAAAAAAAAGTTAAACGAAATTTATCAAAAGTAGTTCATGGAAAATGCAACTGCATAAAGTGATTCCAAAATATGTTTGAGAGCTAATAGTTCAAAGGTTTGATCTTTTGATCAGCATTCGGTTGAAAGAATACAGCAAGAAAAAGGAAGGAAGAGATGATGTCATTGCCTGTCAAAGACAATTGTGCTGTCATTGGTACAGTGCATTCTTCTATTCATTGGAATAATTAGATTGGAGAAAATGCTCATCAATTCTGGGGGTTTTTCATTTCTTTGTTGTTAAGTGTCAGTTATTTCTGACATTCAAAGGAGGAAATAATGTAATGCATATGTTAAAATCAGCAGTATTAACGTGTACTGATAACTGAAGCTTTTGAAAATTATGGAAGGCAATAAAATTACCGAAATTTATTATACATGTTAAATTAACTGATAACATGACTACTGCTGGAATAAATTAAAAATATGTAGTGAATTTTCCGTCCAAAAAAAGATTATATATTGTAAAGCGCAATTTTGTATTATCATAAATTTACATGGGTCTTATTTGTTTTTATAGTATTCACGTTGTCAAATTACTGAGCATAATTTTGTCATATTTTGTGGGAATAAATTTTGTGTACAAACTAAAAATAATATTAATTATTAATATTAATAAATTACCATTCATTTAATTCATTCTCACAATTTTGTGTTGATCTTATTGCTAGACATCTGACAAGTTTTTGTTTTATTATTTTATACATGCATTAACATAAATAATATACAATCCACAAGTTCTTCTGCCTTTTGAAGTCAAAATTTTATTGTGTACTTTAATCACTTTGGTTAATCTATATTATTTGTTGATTTGTGGTTTGTTAAGATATGATAAAAAACAATTGAACAAGTTTTTGGATAAAATCTAAGACCCTGAATTTTGCCTCTTAAAAGTTGCATATACAGTACAGTGTGAGGCTTGATATAATCTAACATTAAGTCTAAAAGAAAGCATCCTGTTCATTGTTTCTATAAAGTTTGAGTAGATTGTTGAGATTTTTGAAGAATATGATATTCGTTATACTGTATTCATATGATAAGCATATAAAAAAAATGGTAGTTTTCATTCTATAAAAACTGAGCTTATTCTTAATTGTGGTTGTAAATATATTTATGTTTACACGTATACCAAATAGGCATAGCAAGTAAGATCATTAATGTCTTAACAGGGACGTAACTACTAAGAATTAGAGCGGTAACTTTGTGTTCTTAGTGTAGTACTTATGATGCATACTTATGAAACAAATATGTAGATATCTTGTTGTTTACCTCCCACTCAGCTCTCTTAAGAGCAAATTCTAAAATCAGTGAACGTACCCCCACTTTTACCCTTTCTTTATGAATATAATTACACTGGTCTGCAAAAAGAATCTAAATGTTCGGGCTCCTATATTAAATGATGCAATTCTTGTAGTAACTGACCTACTGAGTTCAAATCAGGTTATTGAGATAATGCGCTGTTCGAGTACAGTGCTAGGGTAGTCTGGAATAAAAATCTCAAAATTTGTGTTGTAGATTGTTGACAAAACTGCTCACACACTTAAGGGTACATAATTTAAGATCAAAATTAGGCCTGTCCTGTCAACAAGGGCGGCGTGGGGGGCAATTTAAAATTTTGACATGGTACCATTACAGCCTCCTGAATTTTAAAAGTCGACTTTTAACTCGAGAAATTAAAAAGTTTTATAGGTTATGTAAAACCAATAAATTTTGTTACAAGGGTTCAAAAACCCTGTAAATGAGGGAAAAGAGAGAGAGAGAGAAAATTGTTTTTGGATATTTCAAAAATGTGATATGGTATTGTAATATGTATTAAGTTTTCTCACTTCATTATTCGTTAACATTTTTTGTGAATGTTATGGTAGATGTAAAGAATTTAAAAAACATTAATTAAATTGAAATTAGTTAGAATTACATATGTAATTTGAAAATGTGTCTCAACTTTGGTTGTACAGCGTTTTATAGATATACTTTCTGTATTATTTAATGTTTGCGCCATGAACGGTTTGCGCTGATTATTCAAATGATATAAAAAGCATTACTGTTTAAAATATTTACCCGGAGATAAAAATATTGCAGTATTTGTTATTTTGGTAAATAAAGTAGGATATCTGAATGACCTTTCAGATTGTTACACGATTCAAGACATGATAAAATTTCTAAGTGTCCTATAAGTTAATCTTAATTTAATCAGAACTCTCAATTTTTTAGTATTAATATTATTAAGCTGTTGGACTAATAATACTAACATTAATAATAATGTTAAGTATACTGTCTCGATCGAGAAGTTCAATTGTAGGGACAGAATCATCGGCACCATGTATAATTATCACAAAAATTAACGGTTTTACTTTGATATGGTTAACTTAATGTCACGGTAAGGGTAGTTAAACCAATCTAATTATATCATTTTAATATAAATTGTAATTACGATATATGGTGAAAATGGGGGAGAACTTCTGTACTTACCTTATTTTTAAATGTATGCATTTAGAATTTTAGAAAAAAATAAAATAAATGGCTATAATCACCTGAATTCATTTCTTCATATCTTCCGAAAACTTGATGACGTCATCTCAAAACTTATCGTAAAAATATCAAATTTATAAATACAAATTTTACAGTGTCTTTAGAATCTACGAAAAAACCGTTTTTGTGATTTTGACAGTTTATTAATGTTGATTAAAATTTACTTATGCATTCTCTCCAAAAAGTTAATAACGTATCGTAAAAATTTATTAAATAAATGTAATGGTAATGTTTGGTTTGTTAAAACTGTTTGTACAGGATTGTTAAAATTAATATATTACTCAATTTATTTTATTGATTAAATAAAAAAGGTAACCTTGTCAAGTTCCAGGAACGTATTTGGATATTTGCGATTTAATTTTGTTTTTATATGGTGTTTCACTAGGAAATCTATATACCTATAAATGCACTATGACCCAGTATCTGATTTTTTTTTCTTTCAGGCATATACCAAAAGCCAAAGCAACAACAATGGCAGAAACTCCTGAATTAAAACGTATTGCCGAAAATACAAAAATTCAGTCTAACGTGAAATATCACGCTGATTTTGAAAAAAGTAAAGGCAAATTTACACAAGTGGCGGATGATCCAGAAACGCTTCGTATTAAACAAAATACTAAGATTATTAGCAACGTTGCATATCATGGGGAATACCAACGTAAAGCGGAAATGGAGCAAAGACGACAGTTAAATGAAAACGGTTTTAAGGATATTGGAGATTCAAAGAATGCTAATCCACCACCACCAAATCCTCCACTTCAACCACCACCACCGCAACCACAACAACAACAAGTACCGGTTGGAAATCCTAATAATATTGGAAAGATAAGCGATTACGAACCGGGGACGGGACAATTTGCTAGTCCATATTCGGCAAGGAATTCTCAAACACTTATTTATTCTTCAGATGTTGGCTCCGTCAATAATCCTCCTCAACGTCATATCGGTTCTGTTCATGATCTGGATCCAGTTAATCATAATTATGGGTCCCTGGGAAGGGTGTATCGGGCTATGTACGACTATGAAGCACAAGATGAAGATGAAGTGAGTTTCCAGGATGGCGATTTGATCGTTAATGTAAGTAGTATTGATGGAGGTTGGATGACTGGAGAGGTACAACGTACAGGGCAAGTGGGAATGTTACCGGCAAATTACGTGCAACTGGTTAATATTTAAGTAGACCATCTACTAAAAATTATTAAGTTACAACACATACTTTTCGGTTTAATAACGTATTGCAGAGGAATTAAATTATGATGGTAGGTTGTAAAATAATATAAAATCTTTAAATTGTCAACTTTTACATATTTTTATTTTATGTACTTTATGCTGTATTTATTTCATTATATTTTTGCAAGTTGTTAATTATTTAAAGGTTACATTTACTATAAAAACGTAACCATTGCTTGCCAGACTAAATTTATTTTGTCACTAATTATAATATTTACATATGTATAGTAATCTTTATGTAATATTTCTTTCTTTGCCGTTTTTTACAAGTTTACGTAATTTTAATCTTTACTAAAATGAAATTATCTCATTCCAGCGAAGTATGCAAAGAAAATATTACATTCCGTACACAGCATTTACATCAGTATTTCGTAATTTTTGATAATTTTTTTATCACGAGTCCGCTAGTGAAATGTTTTGAATTTAAAACTTATCCAGATTTGTGCCTTACTGATGTTTTTTATAAGAAACTATTTTTATATTTGGATTTATATTATAAAATTTATAAAAGTTTACAATTGTTGTAAAAGTAGTGGTGCTTAAGTCTTATGATGTTGATTAACGTAGTTTTGATTTCATTAAGTATTTGCTGTTTGTTTCTATTGAACTGTAAAATATTTTCATAATTTTGTGTAAACCTGTATATTAATACATTATTAGATTAGTTAACAAATCTATGCTTTAATTTTTGAACAAGTTACTGTACATGTTAAATAAAAAGTACACTATTAAAAATCTTTTTTCTTTTACTTTTACTATAACTCAGTTACACGTACAATTTTTTAAAGTGTTGCAAAATTTTTCAAGATCATGTTTTCTTTCCATTGATTCAATTTCAAGTCTTGTGGACAACGCTTTTATATTCTCTTCAGCAAGTTCTAATTTGTCTTGTAAATCATACTCAGGTTGTTTTGGGGTGTTCATTCGACTGGCGTATCCTGAACGGGCGCTACTTTGTTCCAGCTGCAATCTTGCTAAATTTGCTTCTAGCTTGGCACGCTTTTGTTTTTCTTGTCGTAGCTGTTGCTGGGTTTTGAAATGCGTATTTCGTTCTTGTTCCAGACGACTACTTTGTAATTCGGTTAATTCCAGGAGACGCAAACGTTCAACCTTCAGTTTATTGATTGTTCTCGTTTCAGGCTGAAATTATATAGATTACAAAATTAATAGGTTTTTTGACTTGTGTTTTGAAAATAAAAATACAAATTAGTTCTTTCTAGTATTTTTTAACATATTACACTGCAAGTTTTTGCTAATATTAACAAAACCTTGCAATGTGTAGCAATGCTTTTCATGGTTGAAATAACTAAAATTGTTTAACTAACTATGTTTAAAATATAATAGTTTACATTTTCCGGTCGGTGAACATACGAACTAGACGGACGCGAACTTCTAATTCTTTTATTGAGTAATTTAATATCGTCATTTTTCTCCAGTAGTTGTTTAGATTTGTTTTCAGATACACATTTTTCTCTGGCAAGTTCAATTCTAAGCGCTTCATTTTCTTCATGCAGATTTTTAATAATTTGGTCTTTCTGTTTCAGGTCTTCATTTTTTAATTCATTGAAATGTGACACTTGGGACTAAAAATAAGCAGTTATAGTAAACAAGCAAAAATAATTTTTAAAATGACGTATGTCTGCTGGTCGCAGTGGTGAAGATGCTTTTACTTTCGAGGTGTAAGTGTATTTTTTTTTCTACGACTTGAATTTTTATCAAAAATATATACCACAAGCAGTTTTCTATTGATTTTGTGCTACTTGGGACGTTTAGTAATAATTATTAACAAAAAAGAAAAAGCATCATAAATGAAAATATGTTTTCTCCTCAGAGCGAGTAACTCGTGATTATAAACAAACACAGTTGAGGAATAAACTATACATTCGATTAAGGTCGTCGTACTTTTGGTTGCGAAAAAAATGTCATCTTGGAAAAGTAAAATGTTTATGTAATTACCGTTAATTTGGCTATAGTGTGTTGGTCTTCATCATGTGTTTCACTTAAATTGCTTAATTTTGTTTTAAAAAAAGTATATTCGTTTTCTAACACTTTGCATCTGGCTTTGAGAACATCAAACTTGCGTTTCGTGTCTAAATAATTATTTTTTAGTTCTGTGTTTTCTTTGTTTAGTGTCTCTAATTTTTTATTATCACATTTTACCAGATTTACATCCGAATTTGAGAAATCTGAAACACAAACTGTTGTACATACAAATAGTAATTATTTATAAAAAATGCATTAATGTGATTGAATACAACTTTGTGCAGTTTATGGTATAACTCTTGTATGGTTATCATTTGTTTCATAAAGGTATACGTGCTTTTATCTTTATCACTGTCTTGACAATATTTAAGTTTTTCTCGCAACTCTTGATTTTTTTGTTGCAAATCGCATATTATTTGAGCCCTTCCCCTCCAATTCGAGCCGCCGTTATTTAAGTTTACTAGATTTTCGAATTTTTCTCCAATTTCTTGAATCAACCATTTGTTAGCCATTTTGAGATCTTTTTTCAGTTGCAAATTTAAATTTTTTTCTTCGGTCCATTTAGAAGTAACATGTGTAAGTTTATCTTGTAGTTTCTTTATTTCATCCACATCCGGTGGAGAATTTTCTTGCTTTTCTAACGATAATTTTAAATAAAATAGTAAATCGAAAAGTTTGCGTTTACCTGGTGGCTGACTTTGCTCGCTTTTGGCTTTTAGTTCTGATAGCATATTTTCGTGTTTTAAGCACTTGGACTTATAAGTTTCAATTTCTGAGTTTTTCTCTCTCAATTTTTTACTCAATTCAATTATTTTACTATTGGCTAGTTGCGTAGAAGACATGAACTCGTTACTACCGCAGCAGCTTTCATAACTTGTAATTTTTTCACTTAGTTCTTGGATTTTTAATTCATCTTGTTCATTTTGAAGAGTCTTTATCGATACTTTTTCCTGCAGGGCTTCATTTTCAAGTTTCATTTGCTTAAAATTATAATATGTAGGTATATTAAATTCGTAATCTTTACATTGCATTTACGTGAAGTTGATCTCTCAAGTAATCATTGAGCTCCTCAGAAGCTGTTACGCTGGAAAATTTTGGAAAATTTATCGAAGATAAATTTAAGTTACCGTGAACATCCAAAGTAGTCGAGCTGACTAATTTCTTATCCATGTTTATTTTGTGCTAAAAATGACGTAAAGGATAAAACACTTTCATTGTGTTGTTAATATATTGTTTCTTAAATGCCGACTGTGATTTTTTTAAACCCCTCTGACAGGACACTAAATTGAGCATTAAAATTTTTATAATTTTATGGAGTGAATATTGTAGATATTTTCTCTTAAAGATTAAAAGATTCGTGGTGTATGCAATAAAATGACGTAGATGTACCTCACGAATTTTTGTTTCGTTGTACCAGAGTAACATAAGCTTAAGAAATTTCCGCTGTTTTCAAATTTTAGCGCGAAAGTCATCAATTTTGGGCGTGGCACATAAAAAGAATTGACGAACGACTGTGTTCCGACGAAATACGAAATCATTAGTTATGGTGGCAAGAGCAGGATAGCAGGAACTTATTTTTTTTGCCAATATTACAATACGAGAGAAGTGCTGCAATATGTTATTTATATTGATACTGTATGTTCCAACTGTTTGCAGAAATAGGTTTAATTATGGTACAAACATTGGAAGTGATCTCAGCAATAAGTATTAGCAAATTGTTGAATTTTTGTAAAAACGTTATCGACGTCTAGTTATTAGTAATTAATTTTTTTATTGGAATACTATGGTCGACTTTAGAGGTGGGCAAGAGGGTCCTGCTCCTATTGAACATGGTTTTTCTAATACAGTGTTTGTTTTACCTGGTATAATCTTCGTGTCGTTGGCGAGTAAGTAATAAAGTTCGCATTTGTACGTTTTTTTTTTTATCTATATGTGTACAACCACTTTTTATTATTTTAAATTTTCTGTAGTAATTTTACTTATTTGCTTAAATTTGTTCCCTAGTTTTAATGCGTGTACGTCGAAGTGTGTAAAATACAAAGCTCTCATGCGGTGCAATATTTCCTTATAATTTATTGCTATTTGAGTGTACCAAAACTTATTTTAATATACCTACTTTCATGCCCATCCTAATATTTGTCTCATCAATTATGTTAATAACGGCAAAAAATTTTTAAAATGAATTTCATTTACCTATGAAGTTTTTTCCAAAATGTATAAAATTTGATTTTGCAAAATTAATTTTTTTAACTACAAAATTTTGTGATGACGCAATTAACACTTTAGCAAGGATACCTATATCATTCTTGAGTTTATAGTATAATACTAATAATAATAGTACTGTATTTTTGGCAAATGGGGTGAGTCGTTCTCGATTTGATGTTTATGGTAATTACATAAAGACGGGAGTGTAGGAGTAGGTATGTTATTTTATAAAATTTAAATAACATTAACTACGCAAAATTATTTACTATAAATCAAGACAGACAGAAACGGGTGAGCTATTTTTTATATTCTAAGGGTCATGAAACGTCGAGAAAACATAAGTCATTAGAGTATGGCTTAAATGCTACTCAGTTTGGGGTAATTTTTACGACTTCATCAAAGTGGGCTACAATAGATCTCTGCTTGAACAGATTTTCTCCTATTGTAAAAGTAACAAATAAAAATTATTTCAATTCGGCACGTCGTCTATGTAACTGTATTTGAACCGTGCTATTGTGTGCATACATTGCATTTTATGAGGTATCCGTTATGAAGTCATAGTCATAAACGCACTAAATATATCTTTAGCGGATCTTCCCAATACTTAGCTTACGCTCTGGAAGTAAAAATTCAAAGTAACATAGCCAATGTTTTGAATACAGCAGATATAAACTTGGTAGTTCACTGTTTGCAGTTAATTACACAAACACAAAAGTTTTTCCATTTTTACAACCTTTGTATATTCAATACGTATCTGATAGACATCAAAAAATAAGCTATAGACTGTCAATTTATCTAATCCATAGTAATGCCACTAATACTTGAATTGAGGATATGTTATGCAACATACCTGCGATAACATACCGTGGACTATAACTGATGACTTGTTTAAAACCTTGTATTTATTGTTATTACTAAACACACGACTGTTGTTGAAATCGTTCTGCCACATAAAATAAGTCAATTTTCTCAATAAGTGCGTGCGTGCGAATAAAATGAGCGACGAAATTTTCGAAGACGATGAATTTCCCATCCCGCCAGATATTCCGGACCGTGGAGAATTTCAAATGCCATCGATAGAAGAACTACTAAAGGCTCTCGATCGCATGGAAGGTTTATCAGACGAAAATAAAGAGGAATTGAGGCAAAGTTTATTACGTCGCGCAAATGGAGAAGAGCCCGATTTTTTTGCCGATCCCGTATTACCAAATTCGGGAATGTCACATGATTTATTAGTACTATTTCTGGTACTCACGGTCCTCCTTTTCATTTTTGGTAAGGAACAGAGTTTAGTACTATTTTCTTTTTTTTTAAGTAAAAATTCACAATATAGAATTCGCCTGCGAATTTACGGAAAACTTGGGTTACATTTTATTGTTGATTACAAAAATACCACCGTGTCGAGTTTATGTGTAAAGGGTGTATATACTGATATTTAATCTTGTACTCAGAGATATAGAGGGGTTAAGTGTGATTAAGTTAAGTCCAACTCACCACTATTGGAAAATGACGTTTCAGTGTTATATGTTCTACAGTTTTGGGACAGATGACGTTACCGAAAATACAGTACAATTACTACTAATTAATTAATTAATTTTATAAAACCTAATAATGCAAATAAACTTGATAAAATTTAATCAAAATGTCTTCGCAATAACGTGTGCATCTAGTGCGTAAAGAATAAATACACAACCCGTATTTGAAGGAAGCACTAAATTGCTGTACGCTCTTTATAGTCTATAACTAGATCTCTTCTTTTAATTTTCATTATTTTTGTGTGATTGTATTTTGTACTAAATTTAAGCAACTTCTTTACCGTACTTGTGTTAATTTGTATTCAAAGTTTTATTGCTAGTTTCGAAAATTAACGGAAATGGGAGACTTGTATTTTCGTATGTTTTGAACACAGTCAATCCTTGTTCCTATAGGGAAGTAAAAATAAAAGATTGTCCGTATAGTAATGGAACTAAAAACTGAGGATCAAAGTTTCCTATTTTATTTATTCTTGTGTCACAAATGTTTAAAATTTTATATGCCACACTATCGTTATTCTTTATCGGCTTTGCTATACGGTACTGTGATAAAATACAAGTGGTACATTTTTATGGTCTCAGTTTTATTTGATACAAATATCAAACAGTATATTATTTATTTTGCTCTTATTTGCCTTATTACAAGAATAAAGGTTATAATAAGATATCAGAGTAAACTCAATTGATATCTACGATAAATTGATAAACTTCTTACAAAGTTCAAGTGTGTTCCAATTGTATGTTATTCAAAAAATGTACTAGTGTCAAATGTGTTCAACTACATTAATAGTGTGAATAAAATATAAAATATGAATGACCTCAAAAATCAGTTGAATTCAGATGAACTGAAAGAAAAGATTAGAAATTTGAATCCAGATGAATTCAAAGAAAAGTTTAGAAATGTGGCTTCAGAGTTAAAAGATGCACTAGGAGATGAATTTATGGGAAAAATTGCTAAACTAGTTGAAAGAAGGGTTACTTATTATGCCTATTTTTACATCATTTGCAGTTTAATTTTGGTGCTAATACTTGGTAAGTTATGTGGTAGTTTTTTTTATGTAATATACTTATCTTATGATACCTATAAAATTAAACCTTGTTTTAATCTATTATGTACCTATTGTATTAAGCAATTGCGTAACTGAGGAAACTTTTAGAAGCTCTAGTATCAAAAGAGGAGGGAAGGATGCGGAAGATACGGCAAAATGTGATAATATGTGCGTAGGGGTCGCTGTTAGACTGTGTTACCGACCCCAAAGAGATTCTACATTATGTTACAAATTTTGTCGACATAATTTTATCTCAATCCTGTAGGTTTCCTTTCTGAAAAATAAACACAAAAAATACTAGACATCAGAAATCATTTTCTAAGATCTATTTGATAATTGATAAATTAACGTGCGGTCAGTCTATTATTTCAGAAACGGTTTAAGTATGTAATTTCTTTGAAATCGTGAGGACATAGTAACTTTGATATAGTGTAACTTTTGTTACTAAGTTTTGTCTGCGATTTTATGCTTAAGCTCTACTTTGTTCTATGTAATATATACCTATCATTTTAATTCAGTATAATATTTATTTTTGATGTTGATAAAATAAGAAAAAAGTAATGAATTGCACTGGGAGAACAAATTAATTGAACAAATAAAATCCTGGTCTATTTAGTAGTGCAATACTGGCCGAACAAGGAAAAACGTGCTTAAAGATAGCCATGCATTTTTGGAGATTTGTTTTAGATATAATTTTTGCCGTGTCAAATTACTGTAAATTTCAAAATTTGATACGCAACGATCAAAGACGAACTTTCAAAGATCCATGATTGCCTTAGATCGTGTTTTTACTGTCCTCTCGGTACAAGCATGGACACTTAGAAGAAGTTTAGACAGAACAAAAAATTAACCCTGTTTCATTCAAAGAACATTGCCTACTTATGTAACATATATCTAATAATAATTTTAAATTATTTTTCTAGTATTCTTTGGATACAAGTTATACAAGTCTTTGACTGATCGAGAAAGAAGAAAAGAAGAAAAAAGGAGACAGAAGCAGCAAAAGAAGAAAAAGTAATTTTTCCATGACACAAAATAAATATTTTCAAACTGTGACAGAGACATAATATTCCATTATGACATTAAGTTATGAAGATTATTTTGTTGTACATTTAAATAAATAAATTAAACTGTATAAGTGTCGCGAATGTTTTGTATTAACCCTGTTAATATATGTACTTGCACGATGTTAACCCATATAGCTTGATTTATTAGTAGTTTGGTAGGTATATTTCAGGTTCTGCTTTTTTCCGTTCTACAAAATATATACCTTTTTTATTTTCTAAAAGATTTACTGTCATCATTACTGACTTTTTTTTAATTCCGCAATTTTGTATATTTCATTTGAATTTTGACAGAATTGAGTGACCAGGGATATTGTTAAGTGTATTACTGGTTGCCGCTTTGTGTTGACAATCCTGACGCAATCGCGCCAAAGTTTAATACAGGACGATGAGGTTATGTTTTGTGTTGTATTTCATTTCGTTGTTGTTAGCCCCTTTGTTATTAGTTACAATGTTTTATGAAGCGAGAAGAGCAGAAACTTGAGAAGAAGTGAACTGCAATTTAAACTCAAGTAAAAACCAGAAGTGAGGCGAAATTGAAATTTCGTAAAAGAAAAAAGATTGTGAACAACTGGAACAATGAACAGTCAGCAAGAAACAATATCCTTTTTTTGAGTTACACAATTATATACTACATATTATGTGTTGATTCTTAATGAATAGTACAGGTTAATGCAAAGTTATGATGAAAACCCTCTTATAATACTGAAAAATATTAAAGAAGTGATTAATAAGTTAGGATATTGTCATGTATCTGAATTAGAAGCATTATTAAAAGATGTCATGTTCTCCTTGTTAACTGCAGCGCAGAAGGTAGTAAAATCGTTGCGCTTTTAGTACTTTTCAAAAATTTTTAATTTGTTTCAGATATATGCAAAAAATACATCAATTGTTCAGTCCAATAGTGGTGACGTACTGGAAATCATTCGATCCAACTTTCAGGTACATGGGGCGCTTACAGTTCATGAAATATTTTATATGACCAAATAATTCCATAAAGATGGAAATGAAAATCTAGCCTTCATGACATTACTTTAAATGTGGTTGCGTTTATTGGGTTGATTTATTTATAGTTAAAATCATGTGTGGTCACTCTTAAAACACGTTCTATCTCTCTCTTTAGGTACTATCTATTTTTTTAAATTTTAATAATTTCGTGTACCTAATATAAAAGATGCAAATAGAACTGTGATTCCGAATTTCAGTATTTTAATTAATAAAGTTCTTGATACTATTTAGGTGGCCATACACTTAATGGATACATTGAACGTTATTCTGCAGCATGTACTGAAAATTAGCAGTGAAGTTTTTAATCTTGTTGCAAGTGTACCTGTCAGTATGGCTGACGTATTGTTTCTTACGTTCGACCATTGTAAACGCAGGTATGAAGTAATTTACATAAGTTACGTAAATGCTAATATCTACATTTTTTTTAGTCAGAAGATCTACACTTGTTATTATAAATCTGTTGAAGAAATTGTAGTGTTGTTCAGAAAATCACAAGAAGTATATACAAAATACTTGAGTTTTTTGGATACACATTTAACCATAGATTTTTTTAACGAAACACATGTAGTTGCCTATAAAAAAAGTATTGCATTATTTTATACATTGCGTTACATTATTTTATTGTGATTTAGTTGTAGACACTATTCTTGAAATCAGCAGAACATTATCGGGTGTTAATATGAAGTCTATGGCAGACAGTTGGAAAGGTTTTATTGGATTCGTGCAAAAAACACCTAACAATGGTGTTCTTTCGTTGAATTTATCTCCAGCGATTCAAATTTTGACTGAGGAAATAAATAATAATTTACAATTGTTAACTGAAGGGGTAAATTTATTTGACTATATACCCTGTGCCGAACTTAAATTAAGCAATTTAAATTGCAAAAAGTATTCTGTTACTAATTCAAGTCAAAACATTCTGTTTTAACCGTATGATAAAAAAAAATCCTCAAGTTAAAATAATAATGATGGCATCGCAGCTATTAGCTGTCAAACTAAACACGGAACGTGTGGGTGTTGCCAACTTCATTATTTTAAAAATAAATTTCATGGTCTACTGGAGGATTTTTTTTTTCATAATATGATAACCTGAATTAATCCGATAGTAACATGATATTTTAATAAATACACACTCAATACACAGTCACTTGTTAATTGCAGCGGAACAGATTTGAGCACAAATAGTTTACCTGTTCTCATATCGTATACTTTAGTCAAAGCAGATATACCGTATGACTTTTTAAATTTAACATATGTGACGGCTCTGGAAACAAATGATGTGAAAAACGTATGGCGTAGTTTAATTATTTTTTATGCCCTACGTCTTTTATTACCCTTTTGTTTTTAGAGCCTCCCTTAATTTTCTTAAGATTCCCATATTTCTTATCTTAACGTACGCTGCAATTAAATCAATGTTTCCGTTCAGTTTTTACTGATTCGATATTCATGTGACTACATTCTTTGTTATTTTATTGTTCAGGAGGTACCAGATTCAGTCAAATTCAATCAAAATTTTAAAGTGACAGGATTTCTTGTAAAGGTGGTGTTAAAGTTGTTTGAAACCGGTTTAAATCTTACAGATAGCTATGAAGATATACTTATATTTTGGGTTATGATTTTTAGGTAATATATAAACGAGTCTATAACTTTTAACTATGTATATAGTGTGTATATTCGGTTTCAGTTGGCATGATGGTTTCTTTCGCACTAATAATTTTCCTGAACAAATTGTAGACTGTGTTTCTGCTATATTTCATTTGTCATCAGAGTCTAAAACACCCTCAATGAAGGACAGCGGTTTTTTAAAGGTTGGCTTTTGCACTTCAAAATAAGTTTTAAATGTTTAACAAATTTGTTTCAGTTCTGTGTCATGCATGAGAAATTTCCAACGTCTAAACAAAATTTTGGCTTTTTAATTCTTATAAATCTGTTAATGAAAGAATTACCACAACTGATGGAACATGAACAAGAGTTGGTAAACGAGTTTAAAATAATTTTTTTGATTCGACAAGTTTTAAATTTAACAAGAAGTTGTAAGTTGCATTAATTAGTTTTGGTAGTCATTGGCTGATCTTAAGAAAGAAACATTATTTAGGTTACGTGGAATATTATTACGACTACGATTCGGATTTCTATGATGAATTTATTATGAATGTTGCTGTGGTGATATTACTGTTTCCAAATCAGTTCTGGGAAATAGAAGATATACTAATGGAATGTGTAGTAGGAGAACATATATGGACGTCATTGATTGTAACTGACATTTGGTGCTTAGTTTTAAAGTAAGTGTTTTTAATTTGTCCTTGTTTTATAAGCTTGCTAATATAAAAAAAATATTAGGCAAATAAAGTTCCTATATTGTGGCCTAATTGGCTATGACCGATAGCGCATGCGTAGTTTGTTTTAAAATGCTGATGTTTATTGTATAGACCTAGAAGTGGAGCTTTATTTTTTTATTTATTTGATGTTATAAAAATAAGTCTAACTTGTAATGAATGTTGTAGATATTCTACAGACAAAGTTTGTCAATTGACGTTAAATACTCTTATTAAAAAGATTGGAGAGCTTGGTTTAGGCGTGTTTCATGAAACATCAGCCATAATACGATTGAAAGTTCTTGTTCAACGCATCCTCACGAGTCTTTCAAATGCTGGTCGTCATAACGAGGTAGCAAAATACAGTCCATCAGATCAGTTGTCTGTGTGGAAAATTTTGACTTGTAGAAGTGTTCCTTTAAGTTACAGATATTATGTAGAATTCTTCATGAGTGACATCTTTGAAAAAATGGATATTATTGAAAAAGAAGATTATACGTATAGTGATATTCTAAATTTGGTAGGTTAAATATTTTAGGAGCGCACATCAAAATTCGTTTTTCCTTTGGGTCAAGCCCCAGATAATATTTTTTACGTTTTTCGGTCTGTACTTTTTGTCTGTTATATCCAAATTCTCGTTGCTATTTGTCTGAAACTGCAGTGTATTTTAGGATTGTTATAAAGATAACGCTACCCAATACATATATTATACATGAGAATTAATAGATTTATCCTATTAAAATTTCGTGACCTCATTTGAAAAAGAATGGCAATTATTACAAAGGAAAAACTGTTGTGGCTGCAATGTAGTTTTGTATTATCAATTTATCAACTGAAATAATTTTATTCTGGCATTTTTTAGATGGAAATTGTGGGTATAGTTTCCTACACAAAATTTAACGATCTTGAAATAAATACTACGAAATTATTGCCAGTAGTTATGCATTTATGGTCTTTTGATATGCATGATGTGCACTCTACGAATGTATTTTTTAAATACTTTTTGTCTAAATTAATAAGGATCACAGTAGCAGTAAGTGGAGAATTAACTAGTGACGATCTTCATCTTGTAAGTAACTTCTCAAATGTGTGTATTTTATTTTTCAGATTGTTTCAGATTTTAGCCCAGCTGAAAGTTTTATTGACCGGTTCTATATCTAAAATATTAATTAATGATATTTTACATGAAGTAGCGAAAAGAAATTTTAATCACTTACCAGATAAACATCCATTACTCTCATTAATTTATGAAATATTTAAAATTTTGTTGAATGATAAAAACATAATTATTGTTCAGTTAGCTTTGGAGAGCTTCATTAACATGCTTAACGGTGATAGTAGTTATGAAATTGCAATAAACAAAGTAAGTAATAACTCATTAAAATCAAAGCAGGACATTGTTTATTACTCACAGAAATGCGCTGCTAAATTGAAATATAATTTCAAAAATCTCGAAAATATTCAGAGCGATAAATGTCAACATCATTGTGGTTTCACAAATTCTTATCAACCTGCCTGTAAAAAAATTAAAATCGATGATGCAGATGCTGTTATCAGTAATTTGAAGGATAACACAGAAAAATTGTTGAATGTTAGTAAATGTGAATTAACTACCAAGCAAAGGAGTGATATTAAAATTGTCATAGATAAACTTGGAATATTGTTATGATAATGAATACTTTGTATAAGACTATTAAATTCTTTTACTTAATTTGATTTTATTTTCCTTCGTGTATCTGTAGATATTGTTCCTATATTATTTTAGTAAAAGTTTCAAAAATACACTAATAAGTTTTCGAATAATACGCAAAGAAAAGTATCCGATAAGGTACTGATAAAATTGTAAGGCATTTATTAATGCCTGAACATTATTATTATTACTTAACACAACATAAGAAAATTTGTATGAAATAACTTCGTATTTTAAATTTTACACATTTATAAACGAAGTGCTTTTTTTCTAGGCCTTGAACAAATTTCTTAGTGTTATAGTAGTCATAGCTCAGTGACGGTTTAAAATATGGAACGTATTTAGGTGATGTCACCTGTCATTCCGGTAGAAAGCGCAAACTTGAACTGACCAATCAAAGTCGAGTTTTCTATAGGTATTAGACGTCAGTTGACGTCGCTTCTCGAGTTGCAGCATATTGTGGTTGTAACTGTATATAACTGACAAGTGGTTTTGGCAATTGGGGTGCAGAAGTTAGGCAGTTTTTTTACATTTCATACCTTGGAGAATACAAAAATGTAAATAGGTATCAGGTTTCCCGTTTCAACTGTCACTCTGTAAACTTTGGTATCATGTATAGAATGAAATAAGCTCGTAGTCATTCGACCCGCCATAGAAACTTTCGTAATCTAGCTATATCTTTAAATGGTGAAGATCAAGTAGACCATTCATCTGTTCCATTGGTAATAAAAGATTTACCTATATGCAACTGCTTAGATTAGTCCAATTTCGGAAACCTTCAATCGGTCTTGAATAGTGACACTAAGAAGGAAGTGACAAGCAAAATAAATGCTACGCATGAGTGAAGATTGGTGTTTCCAGTTGCTATGCTCACCCAGTAAGTAGGGTAAGGAACTAAAGGACATGATCGACGACATTGAAAAAACAACCGACAAGAACGTGAAATGCTCCTTGCGACATAGATGCAATATTAGATTAATTATTTATTAATACAACCAGACAAGCAACAAACCGTGGTGTAAAAATCACTGGGGTAAGATCGAATTCTGATTTTTTCTTAAAAAACAAAAAATATGGAGTACATGATCTGGAACTGACTCAATGGAGCTAGAAGAACAGGGGAAACTAGCGGGGACCAATATGTGTTCTGTTTTCGCTATTCCAGATATTATAACCCGGATACATACGAAAGCTGATAGCCGTGAATACGAAGATTATTTATTGAAAAGACTCTTTGGAATTGTTAGCAGGGTTCCACAGGAGTCTATCTTCGGATCCACGTTAACCAAATCTTCCACAAAATTTATTATTGGGTTTATTAGACAGGGGCCACTTCAATCAAAGTGAATATGACCAAAAATAATGATTGAGTAGTTTATAGTCATAATGGATGTATTGTTATGATCATGGTTAACCAGTGAATAACTTTGGCGACTTATTAGAAAATGGAGAAAAATTACTGGGAACAGTAGGTGGAAAAATCGAAAACCAAACTGAAATTCTAACACTAGTTCCTGCAATGTGGAATTTCGTTCTAGCCGAGAGCTATTGAAATAGATGAACGAAGGCAGATCTAGATGCAACCCAGTATATAGAATTAATAAGGGTTTTACATTGTGTTTTGATGTTAGTTAAAACTACTGTTGAAATTGTTTTCTGTGTGGATCGCTACCATCTAAATCTGCCGAAATCAAAAGCTTGTACTTTTGCTGTAAGTTCAACACGAAATTCATCAGTTAATTCGTATTCTCTTTGGTCGCATGCCTGTGAGAACTAGTGGTGGGAGTCAGTAACTTATTTTCGCCTAACTCTAGTGATAATAATTATAAAAAAAAATATTCTGCTGTCTGTTTATTATTACTTTTTTTAAAAATATTTGTGTTGTGATATGGTTTCACAATATTTTAATATAAAATAAATTTAGAGCAACAACATACACGAGTTTTGTTGGCACACTATACGTTGGAACTATGCTCATTCATATTTCATTAAAAAAAAACTTGCTAAAGGTCAAAAATCAATTCTTAAATTTAAATCGTGGTTTGAGCAAACAAGATGAGTGACAAGTGGCACTTCTACAATTACTAGAGAGCTATAATAACTTTGATAGGTTTAACCAGTAGGCGTTCGCTACTCGTTTTGCTTTATAATTCAGTCGAGAAAGCGGTACTCAGAAACAGGCGAATACTTCGCTAACGATTGATGTCCGGAGGCTAAAATTCCGCTTCCGTTCGATTCTAGTAGATATTAGAAGCATAACGGTTTATGGCGAGAAGGGCCCAAATCAACTTGCTTTCGTACAGATCACGAACAAACGTCTTTCTCATATCATAGGAACTATGAAATATCGAGAAAATATGAACTTAGCTTAATTAAATGCATCCTGTTCCTGTAGGTATTACAATTAAAAATATCAGTTCAAACCGGATATCAAAAAAGTGTGTCTTTTGAAGGAGAATTTTTGCTTGCGATAATGAATTTTAATATTACCGTATTTAAGTAAAGGTTTGGAATTAAAGTCGCAGAAATGTCTTAAATTAAGGACCTATTTTTCCTTAACCAGATTCGTCATACACGAACCAAAATTTGTTCATTGTTTATTCCCGTTATCAGTTTATACATTTATACTTTTCGAGTATTAATTCGCTTTATTTTGAAATTTGGCAAACGATTCAAGTTTATCCTTTCCAAAAACTTGATGATGTCGTCTCAAAATTTTTGTAGATAAATCGTATCCAGTTACAATTCTCGCCCCACATGCGCATATTTTTGGAAAAAAATTAACAACAAAATTGTATAATTTAGAAGCCACTGTAACAGAAAGACGTTTTCCGGGTCTGGTATCAAATTTGCAAAGGGCTTCGACGTTTCGCCCAAATTCGCAAGGAGGCGTTTCTAATTTGCAGACCACAGTTTATCTTGCAGACTGGGGGTTAAAAATGCTCCAATCAAGTTGAAACTCAACAGTTGCTTATTTCTCAATACGAAGATTATTGACACAAAATTTCAACCCGATCGGAGAAACCGTTAAAAACTACCCCCAAAACAACCTTCCAGACTGGCACTTAAAAATACTCTAATCAGGTTAAGTTTTGACATTCGCTAGTTTTTCAATACGAGGATTATTGATGCAAAATTTCAGCCCATTCCGAGAAACCCTCAAAAATCACCCCCAAAACAACCTTGCAGACTGGGGGTTAAAAATGCTCCAATCAAGTTAAAACTCGATATTTGCTTATTTCTCAATACGAAGATTGTTAATACAAAATTTCAAGCCGTTCGGAGAAACCCTTAACAACCACCCTTAAAACAGATTTGCAGACTGGGGGTTAAAAATGCTCCAATCAAGTTAAAACTCGATATTTGCTTATTTCTCAATACGAAGATTGTTAATACAAAATTTCAACCCGTTCGGAGAAACCGTTACAAACTACCCCTAAAACAACCTTGCAGACTAGGGCTTAAAAATACTCCAATCAATTCAAAATTTGACATTCGCTAGTTTTTCAATACGAGGATTATTGATGCAAAATTTCACCCCATTCGGAAAAACCCTCAAAAATCATCCCCAAAACAACCTTGCAGACTGGGGGTAAAAAATGCTTCAATCAAATCAAAACTCGATATTTGCTTATTTCTCAATACGAAGATTATTGACACAAAATTTCAACCCGTTCGGAGAAACCGTTAAAAACTACCCTTAAAACAGATTTGCAGACTGGGAGTTAAAAATGCTCCAATCAAGTTAAAACTCGATGTTTGCTTATTTCTCAATACGAAGATTGTTAATACAAAATTTCAACCCGTTCGGAGAAACCGTTACAAACTACCCCTAAAACAACCTTGCAGACTAGGGCTTAAAAATACTCCAATCAATTCAAAATTTGACATTCGCTAGTTTTTCAATACGAGGATTATTGATGCAAAATTTCACCCCATTCGGAGAAACCCTCAAAAATCATCCCCAAAACAACCTTGCAGACTGGGGGTAAAAAATGCTTCAATCAAATCAAAACTCGATATTTGCTTATTTCTCAATACGAAGATTATTGACACAAAATTTCAACCCGTTCGGAGAAACCGTTAAAAACTACCCCCAAAACAACCTTGCAGACTGGGGCTTAAAAATACTCTGATCAAGTTAAACTTTGACAATCCCTAGTTTTTCAATACGAGGATTATTGATGCAAAATTTCAGCCCATTCGGAGAAACCCTCAAAAATCACCCCTAAAACAACCTTGCAGACTGGGGGTTAAAAATGCTCCAATCTAGTTAAAACTCGATATTTGCTTATTTCTCAATACGAAGATTGTTAATACAAAATTTCAACCTGTTCGGAGAAACCGTTAAAAACTACCCCTAAAACAACCTTGCAGACTAGGGCTTAAAAATACTCTAATCAAGTCAAAATTTGACATTAATTTATTTTTTTATTATTTTATTGTTAATTATTAATTAATTTATATTTAAATTTAAAAAATATATAAATTACGAATACATATAGGAGTATTTGTTACAGATACGTGAATTGTGATAATTTGAGTTCATGTTTATCGCTGTTAGATAATTGTTGCTACTATGTAAGAATGCATAAGTTGGGCATTTTTTCGTCCAATCTCTCATTTTTTGTACGTTTTTACACGTCATTTTTGCTGTTAACTTGGTTCATTCAGTACATACTATATGCTGGTTTTGAGTTCTTTGAGATATAATTAAACTTTCATCATCAGTCAAAAAATACAAAGTTAGTGGTGTCCGAAAGAGAAAATTTAAAATTCAGAGGAAACAAAATCTTAAAGATATTTTAAAGAAAATTAGAGACATTTTTAATTTCCGAGAAACCTAACGTAAAAAAAACGTTTTGAGAAAAAATTTAAATTAATAATAGGAAGCTCAAACTTAATTTTATTTGAATTTCAAAAAGAACCCAGAAATATGCTAATTTCTTAATTAATTATTATTAATGGGAAAACAAATAAAGATTCGTTATATTCAATACGACGCAAAATTGTCTTCATAT